CTCAGTCTCGATCACGAATAAGATTTCGCTAATTGGCACAACCTGCGTCTTCTTCGTACATGATGTCGTCCGCAGACTCTCCATAATTGGCCTGCTTATAGTCCGAGCCCGTGGATTCTTCTGCGTTGTCTGGGGAGTTCAGACCGGATTTGAGAGCTCGGCGATATGTCCGGATTCCCATCCGTATTCGAGCGGACGGGGTACAGCTATGGAAATTCGATGGAATCTCCTCATTGTGGACTCCGACGGAGCGGACAATCGGCCTTGATCGGGACCTTCCTGACCGGTCCCTCGAAGTCTGCCATGACGAGACTCCATCGTGCCATCGAGAGCAGCGATCGAAGTGGATTACCTTCGCCGTAGCTGATCCCACCTCCGTTGACATCGTCGATCTGACTATCTCTGTAATCAGCGTCTTGATTATCCCCATACTCGGCATCCTGATCCAAATCTCCATAGTCGATACCCTGATTCTCTCCGTAATCGCCCTCTGGGTTATCAACGTAATCATTTTCCTGATTATCTTCGTACTCCTTTCCCTTATCGTCTGCGACAGCGTTGTCAGGGGCATCTCCGGAATCATCATCCTTATTGTGTACGTAATCCACGTCATTATCGTCTAGAGTGTCCGCGTAATCACGGTCTTCATTATCGCCGTAATTCGCGTCGTGCTCTCCTTCGAAGTCGTCGTATTCGCCGGCCTGGTTCTCGCCGACTCCCTGGCCATTATCGTCGTAATCTGCTATCGGGTCTTCGACGGGGCCGGCTACTTGATTTTCACCGTCGTAATCGAGTCCCGGATCACCGCCGTAGTCGACAACCGGGTCAACACCGTCCTCGCCCACCGGATCGCCACCATCAATTTGATCACCGCCTTGGATGAGGTTGTAGTCCATTTCTTTACCGCCTCCACCTCCTTGGCCAGCACCTCCGCGGACTCCGCTCGAATCAAAGCCTCCACCATAATCGATTCCCAAATCGTCGTCACCAAAGTCCCCGGGATCGCCCACGTCGTCAGGAATGACCAGCCCGTCTCCCCCGTCTACGGCACCTCCACCGTAGTCACCTCCCCCGCCGTAGACTCCAAAGTCATCGAATCCTCCATCCACGTAAGCTGCGTCGCCGTCAACGTTGGCGTCGCCCACAGCGGGATCTACAGCATCCACCACTGCAGCGTCGTCCGGCACGACGGGCACGTCCGGCGGTGGCACCGGTGCGTCTTGCGGCGGCGGCGGCAAAACAGGTGGCTCCGGCGGGAACTCCGGTGAAAGCTCGGGAGGAATGGCGATTTCTCCGCCGGGGGGCACAACAACGGGATGGAATTCTATTGATTCCGACTCAGAGTCGCTGTAGTACGAATCATCGGAATGCTGAGAACCTGTCTGCTTCGAGTGCTTCCTCTCATCTGAATCAGTCATCGTACTCTCGTCTGGAATAACGTGGGTTTCGTCTATCGAAACCTCTTCGCTACTTTCGCTCTGTCTCTTGCTGCCATCGGAGCCTGCCACGCTCGAGTCCCCGAGAGACGTCGAGTTGGTCATCGGCGGTTCCGTTGTGGTTGTTGCATTTGAGCAATGGTGCTTGTGCTTGGATTTCTTCCCGGTAGTGCAATTATTCCGATGATGACGTTTCGGCTTCGGCGTAGCCGTCGTTCCCAATTCGTCCAAGTATTCTATGACATCGATATCCTTGCTATTCGAATCGTGGCTCTCGGTGACGTTTGCAGGGCCTTCCGGAGGCGTGACATCTGGTTCTGTGGAACCTGAAGACATATTTTCTTACGGAAGATATGGGAAAGCAATTGAAAGACTTCAGGCTCTCATTGAAGATATTTCGCAAAGAGTCCATATTTTCTCTCCCGGAACTGAGAAACTAGAAAATTCCCAATCTTCAAAATTTCATTTCCACTGAATGAAGGAGCTTTAGTCTCCACCGGTCGCATGTTCGGGACTTCTTCGCGGACAGGCCTCCCATTTTTCACGAGCCTGTGGAGCTCCACGCCTGACGATACCCCTGCAACAGGAGTGAACACAATTTCGGAATTTCATGATTACCTTCAGTGGCTGGCTTAACGCCTCCCAGAGTTTTTGCCTTCACCGGTTCTTCCAATTCGATTCCGGTTCCGGCTGCCAATAATCTGAATGTGTACTCCTCGCCAGGGTCGAGATCATAAAAAGTGAATGACGTCCACGATCCTCCGTCTTGGGCCGAGGCGAGCTTCGTGACGACGTTGCCACCTGTAAGACGGATGGGTGTATCTCTATGAGAGAAGTCTCGATACGAGAATTCTAATCGGGTCTCATGAGAAGATGACGCTCGACTATCACTCACCGCTATCCGTAGCTTGCACTTCGAAATATCTGAATCCCCCGGCTCGCCATTGAAGATGAACGTTGTCGGTACCGACATCACTGATGACCACTTGGATTGGAGAACGCAGTCAATGTCTGACTCTGCCAACCTCAGTGAACATGAGTATAGCGAAGTTTTGCACTACTCAGCGAAGCCTGGTTGGGATTCTAAGTGTTCGAAACTCACGTTGCCCGGCAGAAACAGCAAAGCAGCTCGCGAACACACACAAACTAATCATTCTAGAAATGTCACATGTTTTCAAAGAATCATTGAGCCATGCGTTCCATGAACAGCTGGCTAATTCAATGACGCCGATGTTTACACGCGGCCATTTGAGAGCCGAGCGGGCAAAAGTTCTAACTAGTGGTGCTCGAGAACTTCTGCTGACGCGGGCGATCGAAGGGCTGAGGTCGTTCGATGCCAAGAGAATTTCCTTCCCCGAAACTCATCTGTTGCGCATCGATTTGTCTTCGTGAAGCGGATTCGGTCATCAGCGTCTCCACCGAGCCGGTCGCCACCATGGACAGATTTTCAGTCACGGATTTCTCCGACAGGAATATATGAGATTGTAGACAACCCCCGGAAAAATCGTTTGCGCTCCCAGCGCATCTCGGAACAGCAGCGGAATTCAGACACAGGACGTATGTCTGACGGTGGTGAAATTGTGTAAGCCAGCTCTGGCCTTGAGGAGCAAGGACCAACACTCTCAGCCGACCGATGTGACTCGAGGTCCGAAAGTGTCGGAGGAAACCTTGCTATCTTATAGCGCTTCGCAACTTGTTAGGTGGCTTGCATCCGGCGACGACCGAATGCGTCGTAGCTCTCTGAGGAAACCTTTCAAGGTTCGCTCCCTCTTGCTCTCAATCCGAACAGGGCAGCTGACCCTTGAGGTCAGTGGCCAGCGGAAGGCTGTACAATTCGTTCGGTCGCAGCTAGCAATGTCACCATTGTTCCTGCAGAAGACCCCCAAGAAGCAAAGGCCTCGCCAGCGATACTTGTGATCAATTACGCAGTTATGCGTAGTTGAGCCACGTAGCAACTCCTGCGAGTCTCGCCCAGTCGACTTCGCTGTTCGCTCTCCCGCTGAGAACTTCGATTTTCGGGACAGAATTCCCCAAATAGGATTTCTCTCTGTGTCAAGCCCCGAAATAAAATGAGTCTGCTCGCACAATTATTGATTTTCCGTGATCTGATTGCAAGAAAGATATAAAAGCGCTCAGGATTTCAGCGTGGAGCGGAGTAATATACAGTTTATCCGCGGAAGAGGCGAGACTTTCGCGAACGGTTTGGGAATACCCCAAGGTTGAATCACCTGACATCACCTTTCCGAAATGTCTATCATTCCGTTGGGAGCGGGGCTTCTCCCACCGGTTGTCGCTGTTATTGGCTACATTCTCACGCTATTCGAATCGCAGTCCATTAAGAGGTTCCCGACCCGGCGGACAAAAAAGAAAAAGAATAATCCTGTAGCGCTACTGAAAGAAGGCGCGTCAGAGGAAGCATCGACCTTATCAGGAACCTTCCATAATGTGGGACGAATCTTTCATGCGGATCTTTTCCGTGAGAGGAGGATGAATGTTTCACGAGGAACACATTCTCCTGTTGTTCACCCTGACCTATCGTGGATGATATGCTTATTCATGCAACGGAATCCAGTTGAAAGGTGGCTTCCCTCGTCGAATTATAGATCTCCTCGACTGCACATGGGAAGAGCGGAGCAAATGGAATCGAGGGCGTGAGTTCTTCGCCCGATAGATTCTCAGCGCGAATGAGAGTTCTCACTGACTGAGGGAACTTACCAAAGACGCAAACGAATGAATGCGGCCACGGCTGCATAAGACCACTGCGGGATTATTTCAGTAGTCGATCGGACTCCGAAACGAGGCATCTTTTCCCTTGGAGCTTGAGCATTCCCGATACTGTGACATTGAATGCATAGAGCGAGACTCCCGAGAGAAGAAAGAATATGTCCTATTGATGCATATATAATTTATTCCATGTTCGATCGAAATCGCTTGATAGAAACGTATATAAGATAGTATATGTGCACGCTATACTCTTCTTCCGCTCCTCCGTTCGTCCATTCTTTCTATTGAACTGTACAATCGACCGTAAATTACGTCTCCGGGACACCTGCGGCACACAGTGCCACCGTCCTCACGGGCGTCGGGATATCGGACGAATCTCGTTTACCTATCTTCATTGAATGGGACTTCTCCGAAGGTGATCGTCGAGTATCCGCACTGAGCACTGGCGACAGTACAGGTCGAATCTGATCGATGAAGCATCGTACATGAACCGTGGTTTCTTCTTCCGTCAACGGCCCTCAGGGTTCTCAGCCGTGAGGTCTCTCCGACACTCGAACGGTCTTTCCGTTTTGAAGTCTAGCTCTCGTGAATGCCTGGGCTAGCACAACACTATCTTGAGTGATACGGTGGAAAATCTCTGCTGAATCTCGTCTCGTAGAGTGCCGTCTATCGTACGAGCCAGGACACAGAGCCAACACCGTAGGATCAGGTACAAACTTTTGGTCGAAGTCATTCATGATATGTCTTGAGACCGGAGTCATTCGTTTATGGGCTTGATGAGTTAGAGCCTCAACCACGTGGACTTTTGGATTTAATCCGCTGCTGCTACAGCTCTTCAGTCTACATGGAGGCACTAGTGCTGATGCGTCGAACTGAATCCTTCCGGGTGAAAATACTTCCGATCTTTTTCGTCATACTGAGCTTCCTCTTCACGGTTTGGCAGTTTCTCAGCACCACGATTTTTCTGAACAGGCTGGCGAAAGCCATCTGCAAAGAGACCGCTTCCGTGTTGGCAGCGGAAACTTCGAAGAACAGATCCCCCGCAAGCTCCTTCCCTTCTTCGGCGTCGACATCGCGGGAATATTCCTTGTCGGTCTTGTTCGCTAGCAGAAGGATCGGGATATCGGGATAACGAGCATCGAGGTCCGAGTACCAATCCGAGGCATCATCGAAACTTTTGCGATTGTCGATCGAGTACACGACCACAAACGCGTCGACGGTTTCACACTTCTGTACCGGCAGAGATTCCGTATTCTGCAAGACAAAAGAATCAGTCACGTCAGTTATCGCTGAATGGTGGAGAATTCGCCTAGCTCCCGAGAAACACTGATGAAGAGTCATGGCGCGAGGCGCTCATCATCGACTGTAGCTTTTTGATCTCATTTCCCCGGGAATAGCACCGAAGAGTCGGAAAATGTCGCGGGTAGACTTCAATCGCTTCGATTTGGAAGAATCTACGATCTTCCGAAATGCCCGTCCAGCTCGTAGCTCTCGAGAGTAGATTTCGAACAGAGAAACGTAGCCCGAAATGAAACTCACACTGTGCTTCGTTATGTCCGTGATTTCCAGATCGTAGATAGTTTCTTCCACGGTCACTTGATTGTGATAGCTATTATCCTGCTTCGAACTGTAGTCGTAGAGGAATTTGTTCGTCAAGAACTTCACTATGCAGGCTGAGAACGAAGAAACCAATTAGCAACAGAAGAATAGAATTTAGAGGCATGCCACATCACGGACCCCAGCTCATGTCTCCGAGACTCACCTGATTTTCCAACACCTTTCGATCCAACGACGGTGATTCGAATTTTCACGGGAACTTGTCGAGGTTTGTTGGTCATCGTGGCGAATTGACGCTCCACTAAGGCTGGCATAACAACACGAGGTTAGAGCCAAACTGTGAAATCCCTCGGAGCTAGAACATCCTTTTAAGGTTCGGTGCTGCTTCCCTCTCCTGATGAAGGGAGGGAACTCGACCCTTCCACCTGTTGATCCCTCACCCAAGCGAGCCTTGCAGGCTTCCTGAATTATGCCCTTCTGATGAAGGAATAGAATCCCTAATTTATTTCCGTGTGTACATGAACAAGATTTTCGATTCGAAATTCTCTACCCGTCTCGGAAGAACTCGTCGCCTCGCTATAAATATTGTTCCAGAGACTCATTCCAGTTCGTGCACACTAATTTCTCCCCCTTCAGCTTTGAGGCGAGATCACCCGTCAGCGTTTGAGGTACACGGGGAATTCGGTTTGCCTCGGGAATGGCCCATGAAGTTCGTCTCTTCGTTCCGAGAACTCATTCTAGAAATCAGTGTGATCGGATCTGCCCGCTCTTAGCAGAGACACCTTTACGAAGTCGAAGATTCTTCACTGTATCTCTGGCGTAGATTTATAGCTAGGGCTATAGCGCATAGGTATATGTGGATCATCCTTCACTGCGAATCAGCGAATAGTTCTCAAGGCTCTCGACATGATGATGTTCTTGATATTTAAAGCATGACTCCATGGATATCGGATCATCCAATCACGGTATCACGGTCCGGCCTCACTCGATGGGGAATTCTCTCGACACAACAACTTTGTTTCATCGTCACATCACGGTCACCGTATCACAGAGATAAATGTCGATCCTCAGGCACGGAAACATGAACATTAGATGCTGACAGGGATGTCGAATCGAGCTGCCACCTCTCCACACAAGCAATAGCAATAATAGATGTTGAGACCCCCTGCTTGGCTTTGTATAGGTGAAGAGGGGTACACTTGCTGATTCTCTCATCGAAATGACCGCGGTTCCGGTCATTCAAGCTTCACATAGAACATATTGATCCTACAATGGAGGGCATTTCGATTCGACGATATATAGATCGCCTCCCCGCTTTCCCCCGTCGCCTCGTGAAAAGCTTCCGTGTTCGAGACGGACTCTATTTAGAGATCATGGGGTGCAAATATTTCGCAGCCTACGGAGTAATCGAGGTTCTCGATTCTCCCCGGCTTCTCATCGCACCCAGCGATCCGACAACTTAGGGTGATCGCGGGAAGGAAGAGAAGGACATCCTCGCGATGTATCTCGAGATCTTCCCGAGGGTAACCCGAGCCTCGACGGAGGGTTGGAGACGCAGCGAACGATATCAAGTTCTTCGAGCCGATTTTTTGCCGGGGAACGTGCGTCGGCGCCCGGAGGCTTCACGACGAATTACCCCGACGCTGCCAAAAGAAGTTCAACTAGAATGAATGTGATTCATTAGAATTCTCGCTGAGAATTGAAAATTTGCGTAAACAACGACGGGAAGCTCAGCGGTAGCCATGGGGAAGTTGAATCCAATCCCTCTAGGTCACGGGTATTTATGGAGAAGCCCACCCTCTAAATGCGGAATGATTTCTGATTCCTCGATAGACAAAATCAGCCAAATCCAAGAGAGGCAGGCTTCCTTTTGAGCGCGTGAAAGAGTAGGCACGTGGCTGATTTGCGTCCCGGAATATGATCCTCAAAGAGTGTTCGAGCTTTTGAGGAAGCTCATCACTCATCACATTGTATTGAGCTTCTGTTTCCGTCGATATGTCGGCAAATCTCGACGGCGATTCCGCTGACTAATCGCCATGGATGCTCCCTTGGCGTTCGCAACGAATCTCCAACCTTTGGAGCATCGTTCACTCATGAACACGACCATTCGTGGATTCGAAAGTGCTCGTTGCGAAAAGTGGCCTTCGGAACGACCCTCGAACTCGCTGAAGCTTTCAAGTTCAACGGCGAACATATTTTCGGCAACCCTCCGCGGACCATGTAAGTTCCATCTGATTACACGTTGGATGCCATTCGGGCGCGCTCTCGTAAGTGTCGATAGCGGTTTCCGAAGGCTGCGGTTTCAATCTAAAACATCCTTTCGTCACATGTCCTTCGCCCAGCCCGTCGTGAGGAAGTTACGGACGTTCCGTGCCTCGGGGCTTCCACGGCTTTCGCTAGCTCGTAAGCCGAGAGACATTTACCGAATATTTCGCCGTCACGCGCCCTTCTCTCGTGACCGGGCCGACTCGTAAGAAGCTCCACGAGCAACGGTGCATCCATGGCTCAGGCATCTGGGAAGCGCTCGGGGCCTTGACTTTGCGGGGTCCGGCTGACGCTCTCTGCTGCGAGGTGGATTGTCGCAAGATATTTATCTTGTTCCCGGTTTCAAGCCATCTCTCAGTTCCTACTCAGAACCCCGCAATCGTCGCGCTCGGATCGATTCCGTCTCCACTGAGCTCCCGAAGTAAAAATTTATAGCGGAACTAGGAGCATGGTGAAGTGCGCAAGCGTCCCGCTCCTTGGGCCGTGTCTCGATCAACCGTCTTGTGCCGGAATTCCTTATCGGAAAGGTCTCGACCGAGCGGGAGCGAAACCACGCCTTCCGAGATCTATCATACCTGAGTTCCCCTCGCCTTGATCGCTCTGGACGCCTCTCATTGTCAGCTGCTTGCTGGGTCGGCAGATCGTTCAGGCGCACGTCTCAACGGTGGGGATCGGAAGCAGGGATCCCTTCCTCGGAATCGACGGAGTTACACAAATATTCCAGCGGGAGGCTGGGAAGTTCAATTCATTCGCTACTTGCGGGGGTCGGATCGATCTAGAATGGGTAGCTTGAGAGTCCTGCTGAGCCCCCAATTGGGACGGCGAAGTTTGGAAGTGACGCTCGATACGATAATCACGACCCATCCTGGAACATGACAATCGAGCAGCACCTCGAGCGTGGATCTATTAGAGCAAGGGTAGCATGATTCAGGAAAATTCGGGGATGCCAAATGGAGAGGATGCTGTTCGAGAGAATTGTGGAATTCATACCTCCGCCTCAATTGCCGATCGTACCTTGCGGCGGCCGCTCTTGGAGATTCGCTGGGCAACCTCGACCTGCTGAACGGAGCTTACCAGCCCTCTCAGACCACGCTTCGTCTGCGTGGGTCTTTGGAGGGTTCCGCCCTGGGGTCGTCGAGGAGAAAAAACTATACCCGGGACGTTAAACCTCGGCTGGGTGGTTCAGCCCGGAACTATTTTCCAAGATGATTCCATCATACGAACTTTACGTGGATCATTGCGTCGCGCTTGTTGAGCGGGGAGAAATGCAGAGACCGCTCAGACCCAGAATGAGACCGCGACCGGGAGAGTCCACGAGAACGTCTCATAAATTCTCAGCGGTTGAATGATCCACGCGGTCTCATCGAAACTAGGATAGTTCAGGCCATCGATTCCGCCATCTCTTAGATCCTGGGCAGGACTCCGGAAACAACATGGCGCTAGTCTCTAGCGGGCTCCGCATGACATGCATATGTAAATGTATGGGGAACAGTCCGCGCTTCGGAAGGAAACGGGAAACGATCTCGAGCATTCGTCTACTATGGAAGGATTCCAAGGACTCTTTCCCGGGCAGGTTCCGCGACGTTCTATCGGGATTTGGTCCTCGACCTCCTTCCGGACATCGAATAGTAAACACGATTAGAGAAGGCACGAGAGAACTAGCAAAACATCCATAATGAGGGCCAGTGCTGAGCCGCGATCATCGGCGAATCGAGAGCGACCGGCCTCCAACCTTGCCTCGGACAAAAGTACGCGCTTGGATTGGCATGGTAGAAAGTCCGGCCAATTGCGAGGATGGGGTCAGACAGTGGTCCTGACAAGGGAATGACGATTTCATCGGATCCCGAGTAGACCACGTCATGAATCTTCCAAGAGAAGTCGGTGAACTACCCGACTCGATGGGAATACCGATTCCGTGGATTTCAGCTGGGGATCCCGGTGGTACTAGAAACTGTTTCGGGGCATCTTGGTGTGACTCCTCGGGTACCCTAGGTCTCCATTGGATGGCTTTCATCCGATCGGGAAAGCCCTAGGAGAATGGAGGTGATATCCCATTCTGGCTGAGAACGATTCCGGGACCCTCACATGAAGTTAGAAAGCGGGAAGATTCTGGGAGAGGGGGTCAGTTGATGAGGAGGATTAGGATTGCCGGAGGCATCTCTCCGTGGCTCTGTACTTCCTAGAATTTCGAGGCTGGCCTCTCCGACCGAAAAAGTGACAAGTCCTCACCGACGACTCGACAATGGAAGAGAGGCTCCAGCGCAGAGTGGTGGCTCCGAGTCCTTGCACTCGGGGCTTTGAATGAGGAGCGACTAGGTCCTCGGCGCAGCATTCTTCCGCGCTGTGGATCCGCTTCGTTAGGAAGATTAGTACGAAAAAGATCATTGGCTATTCGAACTTCCTTCCTAGGGCGTCCTTGTCGCCGCTTTCGGTCCACTCCGACTCGACCTAGAAAGGACCTCACTCGGACGTCTCACGCAGATTCGATTAGAGCCGATTCGTTCCACTGCGGAACAGTTTCTGGAAGCCTCGAGCTCCGGTCGCAGACCGTGTCCTCCAGAGGCCGCCATTGGTGCTCATCCTTCAGGTAGTAGGTAGTCATTGATGCATCGACTCGTTCGTATTCCGCCGTCTTCTTCGAAGGAAGGGGGGGGGGCGTTGATCCAGCGTGCGGCAAGGGCTCAGAATTCTCGTCGTGGAACAGAATACACATTCATGGAGATTTAATTTATCCGGGATTCGGGAGCAAGCTCGTCTTCTGTACGTGATACGGCGATAATCGCCAAATCCTGCTGTCGATTCGCTGAGCTCCGTTGCCACGCTACCAACCACCAGCCCACCTGGAGCAATCCGAGCCAATTAATCGAGTCTCCCGTTTGGATTTCCCTTGTTTTGTTCCCGGTCCCTCTTTTATCCTGTGCTCCCCGAATCAGCGTCAGGGTAACGTTTTCACTTCCTGGTGCTCCCATTCCCCAGGATCGGGTCCGAAGCCAAATTCGCGAACGAATCTCCGTTCCAACAGGTATTCTACTCGCTTCAGTCCGACGACGACGGAGACTACGATGCGTACTTCCGCGCAGAACTCCTCCACTGTTTATCCTGTTGGATGTCGGAGCGGGCTCACCCGATCACAGGGAGCGGAAACCTATTGGAATCGTCGAGACAAAAGGAAGGGTCAAAGCCCCCTGTTCGAAGCTTACAAGATCCACCGACAAGCATTCCCTCGAAGGACCGCGGCGGGAGCCTGATCAAGAGTTTGTCCCGGATCTCTCTCCTTGCCGGAAATGTTTCCTTCCGTCTCTATTAGCATTTGCAAACTTGGGCGATCCTTCCAGACGTGAGCTCCGGTCGCGGGTTGCACGTGTCTGCGAAAATACACTGACCAACATTGTACGGGTCGCGGGAATTGGCCGGCACACTGGGTCCCCGGAAGCGAAGATTCGGAGGGTCGGGAGTCTCCGCCAGCTTCGCTTGAAAGCTATGAGACGGCTCCGGTGTGATTTCGAGCATATTTGGCGGCGGGAGTGCGTCTTTTCCGGGGGGCGTTCGAAATGATGGAGTGAGAGCCAACGAAGACGCGCCTACTCACCATACTTTCTAGACTCGATTGGATGAATTATGCGGATGGGCAAGGCCCACGTGGAGTCCCTCTGGGTGACTTACTGGGCTCGAACAGTTCTGCGTCGGCGTGAGGTAAGGAATATGACCTCGAAGCGATTTCCGAAAATTCTAACGCATATCGAATGCATGGTGGAACCTCCGTCGGCCCGAGCCCTGGGAGTCCCGGGACCAAATCACTCAATTCCGGGCAACCTGAGTAAGAGCTTGCCGCTTCGTGTGCCCACACATCTATAGGGAGCTCCAGAACTCGTAAAAACTATGGGATTCCGGACATCTTCTGGACCTCCGGGAATTTCTCCTAGCGACCTGTCGAGATCTTGCACGGAGCCGGCTTCCACGGGCTCGCGATCGCTATTGTGTGTGTCTTACAGAGCTTATGAACAATGAGGTGAAGTGTTGCAATCGCCTGCGATAAGTTCCCTCCGATGAGCTTACACAACGACTAGGCAAGGCTGTAGCGCTTCTCCTGTCCTGTCTCTATGACAGCTTATGAGGAACATAATCCTCTTATCGAGGCATTCTCAGCTAATCACGAGAGTATAACTCGTGACATGCTGGCCAGGAAGGCTCTAGATCATAATGACGTGGAGTCACGTTGAAGCTGCGGTGTACTTTTCGGGGATCCTCGCACGTGGTTCCGTATGTTATGAATCAATAGGGAGTCGGGAGAAGCGCTCAATCGGGCTCAAAAAGGATCACCGTCGCTGGACTTCAAAACTTTCCCGAGGGCCATTTCCCGGCGTGAAAACATTTTCTACCACGGTGGACTACTCCGTCGCTGCCTCTCCAATCCGAGGAAGTTTTCATTTCGTTCCCGTCCGATCGACAGCGAGGTCGAGGGCGAAAACTTCGAGGAAAATGTTGGAAAAATATCTTGCGCTTTGGGACTTCGTGCTACTTCCAGTGACAACACGGATAAATCCTATCCCTGACATTGACCGCAGCTCATTGTCCCGAAAACTCATTGGCCCGAAATCTCAATCTCTCCCGCTCAAGTAGCGAGCTCGTTATGATGACATTGAGCCATCCCGCCGGTTTCAGACGAAACTGCGACCGGGCGCTTCTTGGGCTCTTCTCTGATCTCACAGACTGACTGAGCGCCCGACTGACTGATTACTGTCAGTAACGCAATCCTCTGATGCTGGAGATGCCGAACTGTAAAACTTTAGAATTCTGGTCCGAAAATTTTCGGAGTTTCCTCCTCACAGGTCCACTGGAGGATTCAATTCCGAGAACCTTCGGAATAGGGAAGCCGAGGATCATCGGAGTTTTCTCCACAGGTCCACTGGAGGATTCAATTCCGAGAATCTTTGGAATGGGAAAGCCTTGGTATTATTCAGTAAACGGAGAGCACAGGGGAATGCCCTTGGAACGTTGAACGAATTTCCTCTTCCGAGTTCAGCCATCATGGATGAATGTCAGAATGATCGTCTATGTCTGAGAGTTCGAAAGTTAAGCTCCCACTAGAGAAGGCCTCGATCTCGATCACCTTTGCCGAACATGTGAGCGATCACAGGAGCTTCAGGAGGGGCGATTCTTAGGCCCTGCGGGATGATTGCAACGAAATTCGTCAGCCTTGACCCGTGCCATGAAAGCTCGCAATTTGGCATATGCTCGAACTTCTTGAACCCATAATTTGTGACATGATATGCTCTAAGTAGCACTGGGTTACACATTACAATCACGACCAGAGGAGTTTAAGATCGCAAGGCACATGTCTAATCACATGAAAATGTACAAGATTTCGAGCCCGTAGCCTGAGTGCGTACTTCCGTGGGTAGTATCCAGATTCCTCTGTGAGGGACCAAAGATCTCGCTATCTCGAGGGAGAACGTTCATGTCGGCTTCCAGCTGCGCGTAATGGTGGTCGACAGGGAGCTGGGTAGTTCCGACGCCTTCTTTGATCATTTCCGTGGCCAATCCCATTTCTCTGAGAGGCTCCACCATGCCGATTCTTTCCTGAAAATCACAAGGCATCCTTAATCTCTCTAACATTTTCTTGTTATTTCCGTTCATCAGAAAAATTCGACTTGACCTCTTGTCGTCATACGAAGCAAGGACCTGTGGACCTCTGAAGAAACCCCGATGATCCTCGGCTTCCCTATTCCAAAGATTCTCGGAATCGAATCCCCATGTGGGGAGAGTCCGATGATCCTCGGCTTCTCTATTCGGAGGATCCTCGGCTTCTCTATTCGGAGGATCCTCGGGATCGAATCCTTCGGGCACTGGGGGAAGATAGCCCGGAAATATCCAAACCAAGTGTTCGGCGAGACCGCCATTCGATTTTCCCGATTGATCCCGTCCGAAATCGAATTTCGCCACATCTTGAGCCTCCCCGGATATCCTTTCTCTGTTTGGGCCTCATGAGGCAATTTTCATCCGCGATATCTTGACGATCCCGACCATATACCGGTCCGGTCCAGCGGCCCGGCCAATGCCGACACAGCCTTCGGGTCTCTCGGAATCCCCGCGGTCAGTCGGGCGCTGCCAGCTCCGCGCTTTAAGGGAGCTTCCATGGTTTTGGAGAGTCGCGAGAGACCGGGCGACAAACAACAATAAAATTACCCCAACTGGCGATCCGTTGGAGGCGCCGTGTGTGATATTTCGTGAAACTTGCAAGTCCTGTTTGATCCATTGAAGACACACTGGGCTCTTATCGGTGAGCTATCAATCCGGAACGCATCCGAGTGCCGGGAATCACCGCAAATATCAGACATAGCGGCGAACGGAGCCGATGCTCTCCCAAGAGAACTGTCATTCGTGCGACCAGAGTTGGGGTTTCTCAGAACTACTGAAGCGATCCCGTCATGCTAGAATTTCAGTAGGATCCAAATGCGAAATCGATCTCGACCTCGTGAGACTGACGCTCATTTGCATGGAGCGATTCTCGGGTTGGCTGAAGGAGTCGTGTCATGCCGAAACTATGCGCCGTACTAGAGAGAAGTCCGCAGGATCTTCTCCCCAGAATTGTTGCCGCGAAGCTCGATATCCGATGATCTGAGACCTATATTCAGCGACCTCGAGCTCGGAGTCCGTTGGTGTCGGAAAGCAACTACTCGTGTTGGGAGGAGGCTGAGGGCGCAATGACGCTGCGGATGGGCGGATGGGGCCGAAACTGCACATTGCTCCTCGAACCGCGACGTGGGAGAGGAATTCTCCTCCCGCCGCCAGTTGTCCAGCCGGAAATTTCGATGGGAGTTGAGCTCACATGGCCTTACGGGATTGGTGATGCTCATCCCCAGACGCCTCGCTGAAAGGGGATAGTGTTGTGCATGAGATAATTACTGTCTCGATGCCACTCATGTCGGAAAGAGAAATCGGAGAAGTCATGGGCTCCCCGTAATTCTCCGCTCACTCTTAGAGGAAAACCTGAGTCTGCTAGACTGAGACCCTTATACGAAGCCTGATATCAAGTCTGAGGAGGAATTTCTATATCCCCATTCCTAAGTGATCGACGAAGCGTCTCACCGTTGCTTGTGTGATCGGAGTCAAAACGACCCGGCGTTCCTTCTACTCACGCAGGGCTCTCTTCCCAGTCGTTCCCTGTTGATCAAAGTCCACTCGTGCATGGAAGGCCACTCCTCGTGTCGCGGCTGTGCGCAGAAATCTCGAGTCGGTTCCGTTTCGTGAAAACGAATCGCTGTGACAAAGTCCTTCGACGACCAATCTGAAACCAATCTCGTCGTATATCCTCTCCCGTTAGTCTCAGCGGAAGCTCTATGATTGCCATTATCCACGGTGGTTTTCGGAGCTGTCGGTAGTTGTCAGCTTTCACTAGTGTTCGGTGCTGATTGACTCAATGATAGAGCATCATCTTCCAAAATGGTGGACGAATTCGATTGCCGGTGTCCCAATGCTCCCGCGTGTCTGTGTACAACTCTTGAGCTATGCGGACGTTTCGACCTCGAGGACATATCCGACGGAAGCGCGTCGCTGAGTCTACCCGATATGTCCCGTCTTGACTTTGATAGCTCCTCTTCACACGGGGAGGGCCGGGACGGCCTCCCGACTCAGGAATTCGAGGCGCCGCTGGGATTCGCAGACCTCAGAAAATCCAGCCGGATTGAGGGAGATTTCGAGGGGGAGCACGTCTATTGCGAACTCTTGCCTAGATTCCAGCTCCGAAGAGTCAAGAAGGTGCTTTTCCTCAATGCAAGCGAATTCCGAGGTGGTTCTCTGGCTCCTGTTGGCCTATTCTCTTCTCTAGAAATAAATTCTGACTCATCGACCATGACGTCCAATCTCGCTGATTCCATGTTCCGTTGCTGCGAACAGGCGATGCCAATTGAGAGCAGATATTGAGCATTTTTACAACCTCTACTGGTAGGAGCTCTGAAATATTGATTTTTTCCCTAGATGGCGGCGGAGGTAACCCTCGCAGATGCGCTGTCCAACGTGGACGTATTGGACGAACTACCCCTGCCGGATCAGCAACCATGCATCGAGGCACTGCCATGCTCGATCGTCTACCACGCGAACTTCGATACGAATTTCGAGGACCGCAACGCCTTCGTTACCGGTGTTGCGAAGTACATCGAGGAGGCCACCGTTCATTCTGAATTGGTAACTCCCTAGACCCGGCTCAGATGCAAGGATCCGGACAACACTGGATCATATTCGATCTGGATGAACTCATTTTAGAGTATTTCACGTACATTCCGGATTCAGGGGAATTAAAGTCGTTTTTTTTCCCGATAGAACGAGATGTTGGAGCAAGGACAGCAACATGCAGTCATGCTGTACACTTGGAGATGTTGCTCGAGAGCGATACCCCAGCCGAAAAGCAACGAACAACCGAACAGGGTGGAAATTTATCAGAAAACGGTGGAGGTTCTCAAACCCGAAGTTCGTAAGCTCTTCAACTTCATGTACTTCCAGGTGAGTTATGAGTTTCGCTAGCTTTTCGGTGCATTGATTCAGACAGAAATCCAAATATCGGATTCATCTAAATTAATCGAGTACCGGGAGCAAGATCACCCCCACTGATTTCCTCCTTTCCTTCCATCCATCCACAGCGAAAGGCAATCGAAAGATTCACAGCTGAAGTAAAACGCTTGTGTCACCAAGAGAAACGCAAAGACTTCGTGTCCGAGGCCTATCTACTAACGCTCGGTAAATTCATCAACATGTTCGCCGTGCTTGACGAGCTGAAAAACATGAAGTCATCCGTCAAGAACGACTATGCCACCTACAGGAGAGCCGCACAGTTCCTGAAGGTGAGTTCTTCGCTTATGAGATGATAATCTCCATGACCGGTGATAATCGTAGATCACCGAAATCGACGGATCACAGGCCTCAGAATCCCATCGGAAAATGGGTATCACCCAAGACACCTTGTATTTCTCGTGCTGCCAGTCGTAGTTCGGGGATCGAGGGCTCGACTTTTCGCTGAGCTCACTCAACCCATACACCGGAGGGATTACTGTCTGAGGGATATTCAAATAATCCGCCTCATAATCATGTAGGTTCTGGCGGACTCTCAACAACTACAGGAATCGCAAAACCTCTCGATGTTCTTGGCAACTCAGAACAAGATCCGAGACCAGTTGAAAGATTCTCTGGAGAGGATTCCGGCCTACGAAGAACTTCTGGCCGATATCCTGAATACGTCCGTGCAGATGCTGGAAAGTCATATGTACATGCTACCCGCAGAAAAACACATGCTCGTGAAAGTTCTTGGTTTCGCGGCGTTCCTCATCGACGGGAATGTGGCGAACATAAATAAACTCGACCAGAAAAAACGAGTAGCAATCGCCAAGATCGATCGAATTCTGAAGAATCTCGAGATGGTCCCATTGTTCGGCGATATGCAGATCTCCCCCTTTCACTACATTATTCATTCTCCCCATTATGACGCCAAGAACTGGCCTCTGTCGGCGTCCAGTTCTCCGTCTCCTCAAAGTGATCTCTTGAAGAATCTTCAGCCTATCAGGGATGAATACGCTCGCTACATAAGTGAGTTGGCGAGACACTCCAACGAGGTTACGACGACCGTCAAGGAGACGCCGAGGACCGATGACGAGAATCGGGTGAGTTGGTGGGATTCCGCTTCCGGCCTCCGGAGGAGTCGCCATGACGACCCAGAAGAGCGCTCTGTATATTTGAATTATAGAGACTTATCGGTCGGAAATCCGTTTCTCGCTCACAGGAACTCTCGGAGCTCGCGCTGTCGGGTCTCCAGCTGCTCTCCAACTGGACCTGCCACGTGACCGAGCTGTACTCGTGGAAATTGATGCATCCCACCGATCCCAACCTGAACAAGTATTGCCCGGTGGACGCCGAAGAATACGAGAGGGCGACCAGATACAATTATTCTCCGGAGGAGAAATTCGCTTTGATTGAAGTTATTGCCATGATCAAAGGACTCCAGGTGGGTTCATACAGAGGAATAATAGGGATGTCGTTGGGGACTCGCGGAAGTCTCCGATACAATCGAAGGCTTACCGAGCGAAAAATTGTTATCCAATGACTACTCTTTCCATTGCAAGGTCCTCATGAGTCGCATGGAGACTGTGTTCACGGACGCAGCCCGGCGACACGTGTATTTCGAGCTGCAACAATTCGTGCAGTTGAACTTGCGAGAGCCTCTGCGGAAAGCTGTGAAGAACAAAAAAGAAGTCATTCGTTCGATAATCCAGTCGGTCAGAGAAACTTGCGCCGATTGGATGAGAGGCTACGAGCCCAGCGAAGATCCCGCGCTAAAGGGTAAAAAAGACGCTGAATACGAAATCAAGGCTCCCAGACGTAACGTCGGGCCATCGAGCACGCAGGTAAACAGCACGTCATTCACCCCTCCGGGATCTTCGCGCCTCGCATGGGAAGTAAACAGTGTTCGGTATGATTGCGGAAAATAACACACTATCTTCCAGCTCTACATGGTCCGGACGATGCTGGAGAGTCTTATTGCGGACAAGAGTGGTGCCAAACGAAGCTTGCGAAAAGACTTGGATGCCGCCTCTCTCCAGGATATCGAGAAATTCCACAAAAACTCGTTCTACTGGAACTATCTTCTGAATTTCTCACAAACCCTTCAGGTATCGACGTTTTCCTCTACAAGCTACTCAAACGGGGAAGAACCAAACTCACATTTTGCCTGCTCGGGAGCCTCCTCTCAGTATTCTAATCGCGTCTCAACGACCTCTGCTCTTTCAGGAATGCTGCGATTTGTCCCAGCTATGGTACCGTGAATTCTATCTCGAAATGACCATGGGCAAACGCATCCAATTCCCGATCGAGATGTCTCTACCTTGGATTCTCACGGGTAAGCCGTCATGCGTCCGAACCCGCTGCTCGATGGGATATCCTCGAACTACAATTCCAATCTATTCCCATTCAAAGTCGGCCATTCTAGGATGATTAACCGTCATCTGTTCCATCTTTCCCTCAGATCACATTCTGACCACGAAGAATCCGGCGATGATGGAATGTGTGCTCTATCCTCTGGACTTGTACAATGACTCCGCATTTTATGCTTTGACAAAATTCAAGAAACAATTCCTATACGACGAAGTTGAAGCAGAAGTCAATCTGTGCTTCGATCAGTTCGCCTACAAGCTATCAGATCAGATTTTCGCTTACTACAAGCATCTTGCCGGCAGTATTCTGCTCGACAAAAGGTCTGTTTCCGCATAGCCGCTCATCGAATACGTATCATCCGTCATCTCCGACTGAATCATCGATCCTTGGCAAACATTGGACGCTCAAATGAGCAGCTCTTGCTGTCGTTCAGGGGTCTAAATCTTCGATTTCTTGCATCAGGTTCAGAGCGGAATGCATGATACAGGCGGCCGGCACAGCGTTTCCCTACCCTCAGGCCAATAGATACGACACTCTTCTGAAACAGAGACACGTTCAGCTACTCGGCAGATCGATTGATCTGAATCGACTCATCGCCCAACGAGTTAACGATGCGATGCAGAAAAGTCTCAGCCTAGCCATCCAAAGGTTAGTCGAGCAGCGAAAGAGATTATTCATCATCGAGCGTATTCGCTTCGACGAGGATCGTTGATGAATCGAAGAAGGACGTTCCTATCTCGACCCATCTGGTGAATTTCGTCGGGAGCGAATAGGAAGGACCAATCCCGAATTCGCGGAAGACGGCAGATTGTTCCGAGACGAAAGTGCGTGACTCTCAACGGATGTTTTGCTCTACAGATTTGAATCATCCAATATCACTGGCGTCGTAGAACTCGAGGTGCTGCTCTCTATAAACCGATTGGCGCATCGTTTGCTGTCGAAATATCTGCAGTTGGATTCCTTCGACGCCCAGCTACGCGAAGCGAACCACAATGTCCTTGCGCCGTACGGAAGAATTTGTCTCCATGCTTTCTGGGAACTCAATTACGAGTTCCTCCCGAACTATTGCTACAACGCAGCAACGAATAGGTGAGTCTGAGCATTGGCCGGAAGAAATAACGCGATTCCTCTGTGGGAATCCGAGACCGAATCGGCCAGACTCTCCCATGGGATTCTGCCGCGAGGTCTGAAATAAAGTGATCATCCCCAGATTTGTGCCTGTCAACATTCGTGGTCCCATGAGTTTCGGACAGAAGTTTGAGAGAGAAAAACCGCCTTCCGCGCAGCCCCACTATCTGTACGGAAGTAAGGTTCTGAATATTGCGTACCAGTCGATATTCTCTGTCTACGCCAAATTTATCGGACCGCCGCATTTGCGCGCTGTCTGCCGCCTATTGGGATATCAAGTGAGTATCACTCGCTTTGCCCGAATTCTGTCTCAAATCCAAGTCGTCAGATATTCCTTTTTAGCAAGAAGCATCATTCAGAAAAACCTTGCTCGCGTTCCAGGGCATTGCAGTGGTGATGGAGGAACTATTGAAGGTTGTCAAATCACTCATTCAAGGAACCATTCTGCAATATGCAAATACGCTGAAGAACGTCATGCCGAAGGTCAGATTCTCACATAGCCCTGAGCGTTGATACTCCGCTCATTTCATTCGACAGTTCTACAGAACATGATGAGGAGTGGAGTCTCCTCGAGTACATTCCTGCTCGAAATGGATATGGATAGGTCTTGATTTCGAATTATTTCCCTCTGTCAGGTGTGCCGTTTACCGCGGTATGACTACGGATCTCCCGGAATCCTGGGCTATTACCAAGCACAGCTCAATGATATCGTTCAATTCCCGGATGTCAAGATGGATATGTTCCAGAGCTTCAGAGAGGTGGGTCTATCGCTCTCAGGTCTCTTACTTTCGATCACACCGATCTGCTACACGGTCCGCCAGTATCGCTCATATCTTCTGTAATCGCAGGTGGGAAACGCTCTGCTCTTCTGCATGCTCGTCGAGCAGCTGCTTTCCCAGGAGGAGGTGTGCGACCTGCAACACGCGGCTCCGTTCCAGAATATCCTGCCGACGCCCCATTGTAAAGATGGTGAAAAGGCAGAAACCAAACTCAAACGACAGGAACAAAAGTACCTCAACCTGCAGGTATGTGCCCCCGATACGATTACCGGAATCAGTACAATTTCGTATCGCATAGGCCGGCGATGGGTAGCCGATCCCCGGGAGTGACAGACAACTCTTGGTGTTTTCAGGTCGTTCCGACTATCGAGCGCATGGGCACGCCGAAGCAATCTGCCATCGCCAAAGAAGGTGATCTCCTGACCAAGGAGAGGTTGTGTTGCGGTTTGTCTATTTTCGAGGTGATTTTAAGTCGTGTTCGCTCCTTCCTCGAGGACCCCATCTGGACCGGGATGCCCCCTCAGAACGGGGTAATGAACGTCGACGAGTGCGACGAATTCCACAGGTAAGAGTCGAATAGACGATTCCGGGGGGGGGGGCGCAGCGTCTTCTGCGAAGGAGTTAGTAAAGGTAGTATTGGATAAAAATGTCGAAATATTTCTTAACGTGATTCTCTTGCAGATTATGGTCTGCTCTACAATTCGTGTATTGTATACCCGTGGGTGAAAATGAGTTCACAGTGGAACAACTGTTTGGCGAAGGCCTGAATTGGGCGGGTTGCACGATGATAGCCTTGTTGGGTCAGCAAAGGCGCTTCGAAGCCCTAGACTTCTGCTATCACATACTGAAAGTGCAACGCGTCGATGGAAAAGACGAGCTGGTGAAGCAGATCCCACTCAAGAAGATGGTGGATCGCATCAGGAGATTCCAGGTGTTGAACTCGCAGATATTCGCGATTCTGAACAAATTTCTCAAGAACGAAGCCACCGAAGGCTATCCACCCGTGGAGCACGTGCGCTGCTACCCACCTCCGGTCCATCAAAGTCAGCAGAACCGGAATCAGTCGACGATATACATGCGGTCGGACCAGCTGGTGTACAAGAAATAATTACGACAAATCACCTGGTGTCTAGAAGGCAATTATGGCCAAATTCCTAATCATTATCGTCTATGAGACCGATAAGGTGTTTTACCTACATGGTAGGGGAATCGATTCTTCCGGTTCGATTGAAGTATCCTACAGATCCCTCCAGGGGGATATGCATGGAAAAATGACTCAGTCTTGTGTACATAGAAGCAACCGAATGGTTGCGAGAGGAGGCTGACTCGACGACTTTGAGCTCATATGAAGAAAGCATGTCTTGCCGCCTTCTTTGTTCCCAAAATCATCGTCTTCATGCTGCCCTTTACTCTCCGAGAATTCGTCCGCGCTGGAAACTTATCGGGAGAGAATGAGTCATCCATCGGGGCCATCGATGATCCATTCGCGACTTGTCGGATCACATTTCGAATATCTCGATCTAATTAGCTTGGGACCTGCTGTTTCGGAATGCGACCAAAAATAAAAGCTAGTAATCGACATCTCAAAACTGTGGTCTTCGTGTACGCGGGATACTCGAGGCGAGACGGATGCGCTCCCGAAAAATTTGATTGACGATATCAGCCGTGTGTAGACTCGTCGAGTTTAGGGCCTTCTCAGCTCATTGGTCGCATCGATTCATGCCCGCTACGCTTTCTCAGGTGAGTATTGGGCTGGGACCCGGCTTGTGATTCCGCTCCAACCCTCTCATTGAGGAGGGGAGGAGAGACATGAATCGCGCGCTATTGTTGGGCCCTAGCAGACGACAACAACAAAGTAAAGAGCAGCGGCCCTGAGCTCAGCTGAGCTGGAGCGACGTTCTAACTCGCTAGTCAGTTGGCAGTGCTCCTCGAGTTCAAGTGGGATATTTATTGATCCCGAACATTCCCACCAGTGGCTAACAGAGAGTATCGCAATAGTGTAGCGATTGCGGTGTTTCTGCTGAGTCTCCCTGGATAAACTGTGTCAAGTCGATAGTCCGCGAAAGTTGGAGTCTCTGGGGAGGAAACTTCAAAGTGAGGGCCGAGGATGTCGTCCACGGGCGACCCACCCGTGGGTGATTTTCCCCTGCACAAGGCGGTCTTCGAGGATGATCTAGGCGAAGCGACTCGAGTGTTAACGTCGGAAAATATCAACTCCAAAGATAGATACGGTGAGCAACTTGTTGTCGATTTGGAACGGATTCGATTAAACCCGTCTCCGCAGAAACTCTGCCTCCTACGCTCCTATTCGCTCCTTTCGGATCGGGGAATCAGAGCTCCCCCTGGGCTGTGAAAGGACGAGTTGTCCCCAATTTAGAATTAGTGATGTCTTCCTCGGATTCACTGAGGGAAGGCCATGATCTCGGTCGAATGTCTCTTGCACCGCTCATGAATATCCGAGCAGCTCGACGTCAGTAAGTTTCGGGGAGGCGCAGAGCTGATCCAACATGAGTTACTGAAGTCTCATTGAAATCAGGGATCGCTGCGATCTGGGTTGGCGAGTTCGTGAACGAGATCGATAATTGTCACAGTTTCCAACGTCGCGGGTCTCCTAGTCTCCTAGGATTTCTGCTCCAGCGCATGGCGCACGGTTATCCATACGACAGAGCGAATATGAGTTCCGACCATAGGCACCAGAGAACCGCTTCGGAAACCCCATGTAGCTCGATTGCACTGCTCAATTTTCGACGGTCCCCCCAATCCTCCCCGACGCGATATGATGGCTCCTTCAAATAATGTCGTCTTAGAATTATCGTCTCTCTCAACTCATCGGTAGTTGTGTCAACTCTGCCCCAAGTAGTAACTCCAGCCCCAACGCAGAGACTGAGTGAAGCGCTGCCTGTTCCGACCGGGCGTCGACTGGATCCCGCTTGATGCCGACTCCTTAAAGGCTACTCCCTTCCTGTTCGTCCATAGGCGGCACGGTGGCGACATGAATATCGTCCGCACCCATATCCCTCGGGATGTGTGCTGTGAATAGACCCGACAACCCGATGGTCATTGATCTGCTATTGTTAGGGTCCCCGCTTGCTTGGCTCCTGCCGCGGATTCCATTCCCTGACTCCAGAAATCCGAAAGGCTCACCAGAGAACTAATTCCTGTCCACGGAGCTGGTCTAGCAAAGCGAATCATCACTCAGGGGATACTAAGGGTGATTTTCTAAATTGAGTTCAGGCGTAGGAAGATTCCTTCCTCTCGAGGAGACCCCCGGCTCCTATCGAGTGAATCATCTGTGACATCATATTGCCTTGGAAGCCGGAATCCTCGACTTTAAATTAAGCGGAGGATAGAGAACAGTGGCCTGGTATGCCGCCATTAGCTTGAATTCTGATCGCCTTCTGGATTCATCCACAGAGGAATGGATTTTGCTCCGCTGCATATCTCCAAGTCTACGACTGCAAGCAGCTGCGCTACGGAGCTCTACGATTTCTGTCATTTTCCGTGCTGCACTCCTGATTTGCATACGGAAAATGATCGCTACAGATTCTGCTATTCTAATTGATCATCATATGATATTCCCTGTATCTCGAAATCTGTCGCGTACGGGGAACGAGAGCGCGAGGAATTGAGACACCATCATATTTGTATGTATGCCTGATAAAAACCTGAAAATTACAGGCAACACACCGATCCACTTAGCGGTGATGCTCGGACACCATCAAATGGTGAAACTGCTTACGAACAAATGTAATCCCGGAATCCGGAATAACGAAGGCTGGACTGCGGTCGACGAAGCAGTCAGTCGCGCAGATCGCGCACTCTTGTACGATATCCTCAGACGAAAACGAACCTACGCTCAAGAGACTTTACAATGTATGAAGGCAGACATGCTCAACGTTCTTTCCTCCGTTGGAGATTTCTACATGGAGCTCAAGTGGGAGTTTCAGAGTTGGAGTGAGTAGTGCACATTCGAGATTGCTCTAGCGACTTGTTTCCGAATCCGAGGATCTTGATACTAGATTGGTTTCTCCTCTGTTTTTTTTCCGTCGGAGTGTGGTGCTCCGTACACTCCGGCGGGCGCCGAGTCAGGAGAGTCCCACGATTCCCGTCGCGACGAGCCGGTTGTACGTAATGCGATACTTCGGTTTCCAGTCCCTCTCGTTTCTCGAATATTGCCATCCGACGTTTGCCGAATCATGAAAAGAGGCGGCTGCATCAGAATGGACACAACCCTGGTCGATTTCCGCGATATGAAATGGCAGAGAGGTGATCTGTCTTTACTTTTTCGCGCCCACGCGAAGCCTGCCGAGCGGCTCCTAGTCATGGATAATGGAAAGAAGACGTACCATCGAATCAGTTCATCGGTGAGTTCGGAAAGCTGAACGAGAGTGATGTCATTGTTATCAAGGATAATCTGTTCAAGAGCGCGCCGGGGAAACATCCGCGATCTCGCCGTCCTCCTCGATCGGTCTCGAGGGATCCCTGGGGCACCAGGAGTCTCTGTCTCAAAATTGAGCAATTCGCTCCAATTTTTTCAGGAAATCCTTCAGGAGACTGACGTCATCAATGAAATGATGACCTCGGATATCACGCACATGAACTTCTCCACGAAAAACATTTCATTCACTCGGATGCAGTCTGGATGGCTGTTCCCCAGCAATCGTACGGAGAAGGTGTCCAAGTTCGTCGCCGATTTCTACGATGTACATGGACTGGAATTTGTAACTAAGAAACGCCGGGAACATCTCAGCCAAGAGGATCTTGTCAGGAACAAGAAAGCTATGTCGGGTCAGTCTCTCAAGCTCCTAGTTCAGATTGAGTCAATAAGTTCCCGGCATGGGTCGCGATCGGTATCTTAACAATAAGCCTGTGGAAACTCACAGGTCAATTCACCTCAGAAGAAGTTCGGCCGTCACCTCTTCCGCCGATCCCTCCGTGCTCATTGACTTGGGAGGATTATATGGCGGATAGTAACACCAGAGCGCCGGTTCTCGGTCGCCCACCGGTGGTAAAAGTCAATCAGAAGTCTTTCAAGCCCGTCGTCGCAATGAGTAACGAGTTCCCATTCACCACCGAGGACCTCTTGAATATATTGCAGTTCATCGCTCCGTTCAAAGTGAGTCGCCATCTGTGAATTTTTTCGTCGTCCATTTCCCCCTTCCATCCATCCATGATATGCCCCGACCCGGGACATTCTCCGTTTGCCATCCTCGCATTCTGACTGCGATGAAATTCTTCCTGTTCCGCAGCATTTCGACCGACTCCGGGAATTCGTACGGATGAAACTTCCGCCTGGTTTTCCCGTTTTAATGGAGTTCCCGGTACTGCCGACGGTCACCGCGAGAGTGACGTTCCCTGAATTCGAGTACAGAGATAATATATCACCGGATTTTTTCGTCATTCCCAGTGATTATAGTGAACGGAAATTGAGGTCGACTTCGCAGCGACAGAAGTCTTCTCCGAAAAGCTCCTGGACATCGTTTTCGGAATCGCCGTGATAGGATCGCAGAGAAGAAGTGTCGATTCCCTTGAGAATGTGGAAGAAGCCGAGGCACCCTGTTGCTAATCGGATTTTTTTGCAATTTCCGCGATGTTTATCATTCGTTCAAGATGTTAATTAATTATTCTGACTGATGATTCAAACTCCAATGCTCCGGAAGCCGCATGGAAGCTGAGTCGAGTTTGGGTGATAGCCGGGTCAAGCAGCTGGAGATGCACAATCGAGGTCTTTTTCCTAGCTCAGAAAACGTGATCGTGTTCGGTAGGGCACAAGAGCCTTGGATCAACATTTTCTATTCATCTTTACGCGGCTCTACCTCGAGATGAGACCCGATATCAGAACGGGCACAGACCTGATTTTCTACATGCTTGTTACGTATACCCTTTCTTTTAAACGTCCCGGACCTCGCCGCCGGCACTGTACAAGTTCCTCCGAGTGCCTTCTGAGCATCTGTCTCAAAGATGTTTTCGAATGGCGCACAAACTGCACTAACTGTAATATTGACCAATGTTGTTGACAAATGTGCATCAATAATGTTGAGTTTCCCGAGGTCAGACGCGAAACTCCGTCAGTCGAGTCCTCGGTAGACGCTTGTTGGTGTTCTTCTACCACGGACTCTTTTCTGAGAAAACAGACAGGTATTTGGGGTGAGGGACTCATATCCGCTTTTCCGGATTCGTGGAGCATGAAACTGAGAACCTGGACAAATTATTGGGTACGCAAGTCCCGAGATGATTGCCGAGACCTCCTGAAAATTCTTGTCAGGACTGGAGATTCCTATCGGAGCCTCCACGGAAAGTCTTGACATACCTCGATGGAACAAAGGGATTATGCTTAAATAAAGCGGGGAGACCTAATTTCCTCCTTGAGATGACCCGTTTTCTTTGGTAACAGAACAATAGTTCAATTTTATTCTCCTCATCCCTCCTCAGTTCTGCTCATTAAAGTGGTTGTTCATATATAGAATTCTCGTCAATATCATTGTTGTTCAGGGTGTTCGACTTTCCGTCGTTCACACTCTCTCTGGTGTTTCCATCTATTAAAGGCTTGCTCTCGAATCGTCGATCACGAACGAAGAAACGCTCGGGATCAAACAGTTGCTTACTTATTGATGATTCTTAGTTTATAAAGGAGCTCTGTTCCTCGAAAGAAGCGATAATCGATCATTGGTGTCGTGCTGCTGCTGTTGTCGTTCATATTGTTAGCGTGGTAATAATCACCCTCGTCTCCTAGTCATGTAGCATTTGTTTTCATCCATTTCGCTTTTCATACTTTACACAAAGCAACGTCTCCGAGGACTTATCGTTGCTCGCACCACTCTGCTGTTATATATCTCATTCAGACTTGGATTCGAGGATAGATCCTTCATTAGGATTCTCTCTTCGCCCTTGCTCCTTCCCGACGTCTTCGTCAGAGAATCTCAATCACGTCTTTTTCATGGAGCTCCCGTCGGTATATTGGTATTTTGTGGAGCGATCTTGGCGTTTCATGTCCCTGGATCATATGGATAACAATAACAATAATTATATCGATGTGATAATAGTTATAATTTCAGTAACATTCGGAGAGTAACTCGACTGAGCCTGAGATTGTTCGCAGCGCGGCAGCAACTTGGCGACGGCATCCGCGGAAGTAATATTCGTTCTTTCCCGTCAGCTTCGGACAAAGGGAGGATCAGCATAAAAATTCGTCTCCATCAATTCCAGACAGTCCGACCTTCAATAGGGATAGTCGCTCCATCGAGTTTCCCCTCGGCGAGAAGAAACTTGTTTTGCGTCAAAGCTTACGTCAACGGTTTTTTCCATCCTTCGCTGCAGCTCGCGATCCGAGACCCCAGCGAGCATGAGTTTTTGAGTCCAATCGTAACACACGTGGTTCGCATCGAGAGTTCATTGTTTTCTTCGAAGGAGAATCATCCTCCGTAATTTTGATTTTGCTATAACCGTTCGGCGTTCTTCAATCAGATTACGCATCATTGGGCTTTGTTTCCATCTTCCTTCCGATGCGCCTATTCTTCGACTCCCAATCATTTATTGAAAAGAGCTATAACTCGTCGATTCAGGCCACAAGTATTCCGTCTGATGAATAGAGCCGTCGCCACCATCATCATCATCGTCGTTCTGTTCCTCCTAACCGCTTGAGCACAGCTTCCCCTCTAAACGTAAACACTCATAACTGGGAGGAAATTACAGATGGTGGAAACGAGACGCAACACCGACGACTCGCCTTCTCATTGTCCTTGGGACAGCGGCCTGGGAGTCACTGGTGAGCGTAGCGCAATCGGGCGCGAGAGCAAGGCTAGCTATTTGATTGCCCCGAAGTATCGCAAATTTATGTAATCTCGAGCATGATGCTCCGGCAGTAGATGGAATCATTTCCAGCCCTTGCAGGGCTCTCGGCCGAGACAGTTAGTGGCCTCGACCGGGGTTGATGCCTGCTCCTCGCCGCCGTCTCCACTGTCTCATGGTGATCGCCTCGTTTCCAGGAATGTTCTTTACGCCGCGAGAAAAATTGATGGACCAAGGGTTTTCAATTCCATCGGTATAAACGGATGTGGATTCGATCACTGGACATCCCCGATGGCTTCAGGCTATTTTTTTCGAGACCACTCGCCGATATCGGGGAGAATAGATTCTGTGATATATTGATTACAATAAATCGTAGTCCTAAAACTTCAAGTCTATCGCAGCATAGATTCCAAGGCTAACATCAGGTCGTAGCAGTTCCTATCGTTGGCGTTGTTCTCTACCTATGTACACGGTGGAATGAGTTATGGTTATGAGGTGTCTTGTTCCGTAGCTCGCTTATCAATACTCATACATAGGTCGGCATTTTCGGCATAGCTCAGACTACAGCTTTCACCCGTACGTCATTATCATAACGTGCTCATATTTTCATTCTCTCAAACATCATCGTAACGATATCATATTCATTAGCTCTCCTTCGTCGGTGGTGGGCGTCCATAGCGAGGGTTATCTTGTTTCAAGGTCTCGCGAACCCTGATAGGCATACACACATATATCAATAGATGGTAATAATAGGCGGCGTCAATATTTACGTTCCAAACGGTTAAGTACGTTCCAGTCGCGGTCCCACTATTGCATTTCGCTGCGGCTTCCTACCGCAGACACGTTTCCGTGATCCCCATAAGGATCCCACCTCTTCTCTCCCTTTGATATCTGCGGTGGCTGACTCGAAGATCTTCTGGAGGGGCAGAGGAAAAGATGAGCAGAAAATTATCGAACAGTTACGATCGTCGGCGTCGGTTTGATTCACGGAACAAGTCATCGAGTCGGCTCCCGAATATGATGGCTGCGATTCGCGAATATGAAAAAAATGGAGTCGTTGAGAGTTGAGATACATCATACGATGAATCATCAGGAGCTCGATGTGTTCTCCATAGCTATAGTGAGGCACTCACTATAGTGAGTCATGTTTCCAGCGGCAATAAAAAGCGAAAGACGCAAACGAATCATTCCGAGTTTCGGACTCGCGATCTGGGTCCTTCTTGGGCTCCTCCCGCGAATGAATCCCATCGTCACCGAAGGAGCGCTCCCAGGATTTCGGTCTACTCATGCATGGACGTCCCCCGGACTCTCGGTCGAATTCCGATCCCATCAGTGCCGAACTATTGCAAGAAAAAGCCCATGTGGATGGGGTATGCGTATTCTGGACTAGAATGCCAGGGAGATGGAGGATTTCCGCTCTCCGCTCATCAATGACTGGGATCCGTGTACAACCGGACTACTCAATCGCCGCTGCGAAGCTCCGGAGCCGATCGGGATCGCGGATATCCCCTAGGAGTGCCGAGCTCGCGGAATATCCACCCCGGTCAGTCTCGGGTGCAGCTGGCTCATTCGATTGAACGATTGCTTCGATTTCTCCGGTAGGACTCTCCGCGATGCGCTCAAGTTCAAGGAGAATGTTCGTAGATCAATCATTTACAATGTCTAGCAATCAATCATTCCTCCATTAACCACATGCATCCGTTTTGAATGACCACGATCAACCCCTGAGCGACGGCTTGAAAGTCCGAAATTTTGCCGAATTTGAGGGAAAGAGACCAGAGTAGAAGAAAATCGGAGATATTGTATCAGCTTGCCTTCTCTTCACCGATAAAAATTCATGATCCGTGACTCACGAGCTTCGTCCAAAGTCACGTAACGCGGTATGAGTGGGATCGACTTGTTGAGCCTGCGCGGTCGAACTGGGAGTTGGAACGGCTCCGAGCGAAGAGCAAGACCACCCGATGGAAGGAGATCCTCCGCCTGGCATGTCCGACCATTTTTCTTGCCGTTTCCTGGCGAGAGTCTTTGTCGGCGGCGACCATGCAGGAAAAGAATTATGGAAATCCAAGCGGTTCCGTTCTCACTCAATTGATGATCCTCATGCTGTTCTCCCTGTGTTCATAGGGCTCATTCCCGTAGGATTCCGCACAGTCATTACGGTGTCATCTATAGTTGATTGTTCAAATCGTCAGTGGTTTTCGCCGTCAAGGATTCGCAGATCCGACCGCTGAAGGTGAGAGACGTATTTTTTTCAACGCTCAAATGCTTGCATCTTGTGTTTAGGTTTTGAACTAGAAAACGGTGCCCTTGCATTTGTAAGTGGCAAGAGTTTCACACATTGGTGCTCGCAATTGGCAGATGCTCGGTCTTCGAATCTAGGCGGTTTTTTTCCTGATCCCCACTCGATCCAATCTCCGAAGGAGAGGAGAGACTATTCTTCAGCCCAAAGTTGTTTTCCCCCCCGAATGGAAGTTGTTCTGGCCGGGTAGAGGAAGAGCCTCGTCCTCTTGAGATGGCACCTCCTCAGGAAATTGGAGTCCAATTTTGCCGCGAAGAAATCCGATAGAGAAAAGCACCCATGGAAACTCCTGCCTCAGTGTTGTTGGCTAAAGTACAGCAACTCTCGTCACTCGTATCTCTTCTTTCTCATTACATGTACCATAATGTATCAGTATGTATTGCTTTTTCGAAATTTCGCTCCCCGGTGGAGAAAATCAGAACAAATCATGCCTCCGCTTCTATTCCGTAAATTCCGGATGCACCCCTCTCTTATTCAGACGTTAATCCCTCCGGTGTGGATCAGTCGAGAATCGCTCGGTTGGACATTGAACCAGCCTAAAGCATTCCGGCGCGTCGCACGCGGGGAAAGACTTGTAATGCAAGAAACTTCAATCGGAAACGACTGCTCATTGTCTTGGCAAATCGGATATGAGCGGGGGAGAGAAGGGAACTTCGCGGACGGGCGAAATTAAGAATATCCACTGTGTACGTGACAGTCAGGTGAGCAATTTTCCAGTAATCGGGTCTGGCCTGGAGCGAGAATCGCCCGAAAGCTGCGAGACAAGGCCCTGAGAGAATTCCGACTCCTTGGTACGAAATGACGGGAAGGATATTGACGCTGATCTAATGAGTGAACAGACACCCAAAACTGTGAAGGGGAATCATCTATACTGAACGAAAAGGCAGGAGGGTGAGTGTATCATACCACAGTCCCTCGGGGAAAAAGTCCGGTGTCGATCTGCTCGACCGCCGGTCTTCGGGAATTCAACGATTCTCTGTCTTTAAGAACGGACAGAATCAGCATGCTTCAAGGAAAGTAGAGCAGAGTTCCGAAAATAAATCCGGGAAGTGGATGAGCGATGCGTGTACGCGAGCGAGCCGTTCGCGAACGACGAAAGGCTTCGCTCGCTCTCAGGTACGGTAGTGTTGTTTCTTTCAATCTAGGACGTTTAATTAGTCGTTGTCATCCGTTTAACCATGGGACTCTAAATGCATCCATATTATTTCGTCGGACGATCGTAACGCGGCGCACAGACACCAATGAATTCATCATCTGTACACAGCACTCATGCATTCAGTACCTCGCGCGTCTGGGCTACCTCAACAGGTTAACAGTACAAAGACAAGCGTGGCAGCAGTCATCCAGCTGCGGCGACGCACTCGCAAGCTGCGGAATCCTTACTCGCAATCACGTCATTCACTCAGCTCCGAGCACACGCCCACATTAGCGTTAAAGCACGAAAAACGAAACCTACCTCAACCCAGCATGTATTGGATCGATTGATACCTAAGTTTTCCCGATACATAGCATACCTGAAGAGCAACCTCACGACGGCTTCGTGTCCAAGTTGGGATATCGAGGGCAAGCTGCTCGCCACGTCTCGGGTTGTATTGTCGAGTCGTGACGGCGACTAATGCTTTTTCTAGGAATATCCGGCTCAGATAGAGAGTATTTGTAGAATACATGTAAGCTTCCAGACAGCTTGATTGGAGCCCGACGAAAACAGTCCATCCCAAACGGAGGACGGAACCGAGTCGGGACTGAGGCATCAGTCGGAGTGGCTTGCGCCTGAGAAGGTCTTCTCCGTTCGTAAACTACGTTCATGACGACTACGGCTAGCGATATCATCATCAGAATTAACAAGATTACTATGCGTATTGTAATTCACTGTCAGTGCTCTTCCTTCCTGTATCACGTGGTGGCTCGCTATGTAAATACTGTCTGTGTGTCATCATCATGTTCAATTTTACCGACATCGTTGCTACGTCTGGCTGTGGCTTGAGCTCAGCGTAGCTCGTGAACGCCTCCCGCTAACGATCATATATTGATTGGAATTGACCAACTTATTGGGTTCTTGCCGGTTTAACCTTCGATGCGCTTCGTATCAACCGTACTCGACCCCAGTGCGGCCTCCGCCTAGTCGATTCATCGTGACCGTACATAGCGAGCTTCCATCGTATCCATTGATTTTCGAGACTGCTGTCTCTCGCGGGAATAATTATGGGGGGTTGCCGTATCAAAGCGTCTTAAACAGTAGTTCCGAATGAAAGCGGAACGGAAAGCCAACGTTATCCGCAGACTACATATGTATCGAGTATGGAGTCATGTGTTGATGATCATCAATCTACGTGTCATCATTATTATCTTCATATTTGTCCAACATTTTCATTAATCCATATCTGGCGCGTCCGATACATTCCACTGAATCCGAGGCGAGCTCGGAGAGATTCTCCTCTTCGAGTCACGGCGGATCGCAGCAATCGGGTGCTGAGGTCATCCATGAGTTTCTCTCTCGACCATCATTGGCAAGTCATCAGTTTGATAGTCATTATTTCGAGATAATTATCGTCATTCCCATCATCGAGTCCCCGCTGCATATTCCGTATATCAATGTATAGCCTTGTATATGAAAACGATTAATCATCTTAATTCCCCCATCGTTGAGAAAGGTGTAAGCCGTTCGAAAGTTTCTATCTATACAGTATCTTCCGGAGTGCTGAATAGAACTGAATTGGAAAACGCTCTGACCTGCCGAGTATTTGCATGGCCTCTTCAAGATCAACGATAAAACCACCGGACGGAGCCACTCGTGGGAAACTATCTTGAGATCGAATTCTCAGGAGTCCATTCCAGAGTACTAATCGCACTGTCTCGATCTTCAGTCAACGTCTGTGTGTCAATCTGCGTCCTATTATTCATGTCCTGACGTCATGAGGAGTTAGATTTCTCTCGGCCAGCCACGGTTATCGAATTCGAGAGTATGGTGCACCCTTGGCCGATTCACAATGAGCTCGATAATTTGCTGTGAGGCTGTTTTTCTCGTTGCGAAACACTTGATCGCTTTGTGAATTCGTTCTCGTTGCTATGAATTTGTTCTTTTATCTGTGAGTTTGTTCTCGTTGCTATGAACTTGTTCTTTTATCTGTGAGTTTGTTCTCGTTTTAGTGAGTTCGCTCTTGTTTCCGTGACTTTGTTCCTATTCTTCATTCGAGTCTGGTTTCATGTAAACGGGGTTTGTTCACCTGGTTTTCACGACAAGAAGTCGCTCCTCCCATCTGGGTTCATTTGGTACCACATTGAAAGAACTCCAAGCATAATTCGCTCCTCAGTGCTGGAGCTGGCATGTGACGAGTTGTGAGGTTTGAGGTGCTCGTCCGCTTTGCAGATCCTTCCGTCGCGCTGGTTGCCTCGTCTGAATGCTGTTTCATTGTTCTTGGTCGATCTGGTGTCGAATTATTGAACTATTTCCGTCCTCGTGGATTGGCGATGTGGGTTTGCTTCCTGTTGTCGTCGTCAACGTTTCAGTTTGCGGTCATGAATCATATCTACTTATTTGAGTGTGATTCTTGCTGTCGCTAAGGTTCTGGCGACATAAAGCTCGTGCTTCCGTGGAAATCGTTGTTGTTCTTGCTGTTCTTGCAGTATAATTGATTCGCTGCCTCTGCATCTGTTTAACAGTATAGCTCTTCATAGACATCACCATTAGAGTGGTCGTGATGCGTAGGTTCATTTCTTGAAGGGTCACAGACGGATTCTCTTTTCCAGGAGACTCGTGGCTGTGAGAAGCTCCTCAAAGACTTCGTGTGCTTCCATGTGCAGTGAATTACGTGGAGGGTTCTTCGGAAAAGGGTTGGCGGAAGGCAGGGTGCGTGTCTCCGGAATTCCGTATGAGTTTGTGATTGTGAGATCAATTCCAACCACCTTGAGTCGAATCACGACGTGCCGATTGGCGACAATGCTGTGCCGGTGCATTTCGCTGTGATTTTCCCCTTCCTCGCATTCTTGTTCAACAATGTCTCAGTTCCTCGATCGATTTAGTCTGTCATTCCTTCTATCAGTGTTACGACGCCGTTGGATTCCTTGGCCTCGTTGACAATCTTGTTCGAATGCGTTAAGTCGAACCCCTTCCGAACTATGGGGCATGCGCAGCAATGTGCGGGTTCAGCTGAATTTCTGCAGTGATTCGTTACGGTAGACGTCTAGGTCGTCTCCCGCTTCCGAATCATTATGACTTGAGAAGCGTGTAAATTGTGAACGAGATGGCTCGAGACGTTTTTCCTGGTTCTCCAGAACAGCTCTCGCGACGAAAAGCATCCATCTTCCCTGCTGGAAGCGGAGGAAAATCTATGTTGCGGAGGGTCATTGAGATTCTGATTCATTTTGATTGTCGTGGATCAGCATCCGAGAGAAAGAGAGAAAAGTCGGACGCTGCTCGGAGTACAGCGCATCGGGTCGCAGTCCGTATTCCGAGGAATGCGGAGACGCAGGGCCAAATAGCCAGTGCAGCTAAACGAGGTTGGGTGAATTGGTATTTGGACGAATCGTTCGATTTTACATAGCTGGTAGCCGAAGCCTGAAGCTGCTCGACCGGATCGGTCAGATTCGATCGATGATGATCATATCATGAAGGTTAAGCGTCCTTATCCGGAGAGCCTGCCGTGAGACGAGCGAGGGATCCTATTCGCTCTTCCGCCTTTCTCGTCATCATCGTCATCACTTCTATCTGATCCTGTCGCTAATTTTCTTCATAGTTCCATCGTCGAGTGAGGCCATCCCTGAGTCCCGGCGTAGAAAACGATTCGACTTGGCTGAACCGCAAGTCCCGATCGGATTAGACTTGGATAGAAAATCTTAACTTCACTGATGTTCGCCGTCGAGCGCCTCAAGGTACTTCTGGTCGATGAAGAGCGTCACGACCTTATGGCTGGAAAGAGCAAGACGAAGACTAAGAGTCGAAACCACCCATCAGCACATTCATGATTATCAGACACGGCGCTTGCTCCAAACCATAGGTTTGGACCTCGTGCTGCGCGAACGTTCAGGCTCTGATGCAAATCCTCGATCAATTGCGTAAGTTCGATCGCTGACTCACCGCAGCGGCAGTAGCAACAAGATGATGACTGGAAAGATCATTTTGATGTAGGGCCAAGGCGCGAAGCCAAAAAAACACATGACGGCCAACTGCACGACCTGACAGATCGTGAACGCGTGAATTTTGCGCTGGGGACACCGCCGAATGTAATGATTCGGCGGGTATGCTGCCTGCTCCATGAAAAGCAACGTAATGCGTTCGAACATCTGGTTGCCGTTGAGTGACGTGATGGCCATGTAGAGAAAAAGGCCATCCAGAACGGCTGTTGGAATGTATCCCAGTGGATACGGCAGTAGGAATATGGACAGACCGATGAGAATGTGGGAGATGACTCCTGTCAGTCGCGTTTCTCGGACACGAACAATGCTGCAAACAGAACGAACATGAGGAATCGGAACAATATCTTCGCCCTCAGCTCGACCTTTTCGGAAAATCGATTTGACATTGATTGAGCTTCCCCTTCAGCCAGTTCGGATTCGCGCCTAGTTCGGACTTCTTCCGAGATAGAGATGCTGCCAGATTGTTTGACAAAGAGCTCAGGGACAGTGTTTGGATGGGAACGCTCGGTAATGAAGACGTTAATGACACTTACATTTCGTAAACATGTCCTTGGTCGACTCGCTCTTCAACGTCTGCCATCCCGCGTACATGTAGCGGAGAATGCGGAAGAACTCCGTGCATCCAGGGTAACCCATACAATGACAGGAACCCGTTCAGGATCCCCACCACGAACAGATCCATGTGGTAGGCCGCTCCTTTTTTCAATCTGCAAGGGGAATCAATCCGATTTAATTGCCGAGCATAATCCCGCGGAATGAAGCGTCCTCCCTCCACCTCTCAGGATGGGGGGAACGGTGATTTTCCAACTAGAACCTCCCTCCTAATTAGGGAGGGTCTAAGGGGGAGGGATGCAGCGTCGCATGAGCCGGTAGTTTCCCGTGTTCAGTCCTATGCGTCTCCCGCTTCGGACCCCTTGAGGTTGTAAGAGCAATCGGAGGCTCGCCGATTTTATCCGCCCCAAGCCGAAGGTGAGGCGAGAGAAATGGGCAGGGGAGCTTCCAGAAGAGCGGGAGTCTGCAGGGCTGGAGACTCGTCGAGATCGGGCTGGAGTGAGTGGTTTTCCGAGGCATGATACCACCTCTCATTAGAGCGAGGTCTATCCCAACGAGTTCCCCGCATCGAGGTCCTCTTATTCCGACTTGATGACTCGCTCCGAGCCTGGGTGAGCTGCTTGAGTACATCCTTCCGGGACCGGAGTCATTTTCCCTCACGATTCCGCCCGGCTGACTGAGGAGAATGATAAGTGAAAGGTACTCCCATTCATGGAATGCCGTCGCCGAAGCTTCTGCTGAGCCGTCTTGTTCACGCTATGCGTCTTCCCCCGGGCGGGGAACTGCTGCGAAAATGACGCTCTCGATGATGCCACCGCTGCTGCGGCCCTCTCTGACGACGTTCTTCGACGGTCGTACGGACACACAATTGCTTTGATGGCTCGGTGGCTTCGTCACGCGTCGGCTGGTCGTCCAAATCAAGCCGAAGTGTCCTCCTCAAGGTTCCTTTCAGAGAACTGCCTCCTCGATGCCTCCTGGTCGCGGCCGGCCCCTGCCTGCCTTTCTCCTCGCCTCTCTCAAGGTGGTGGTCGTCTCCGTCGTAATATCATCTCGCTGCAACTTTTGAGCTCTTGTTTTCTTTCCGTCTTCCGACGGGGGGCTTCCCCCCGCTCGGCGTCGTCAGACGACTTGCTCGCGAGAATCGTTCCAGGCCAAAGTAGAGTGGAGCGGGCATCATGGGCCCGTTCCTTTTCCATCTTTTCCGCTAGCGCAGCTCTGCCTCACAGGTCATCCAGCCCCGGTGAACAACTCCGGCTCCGCCTGATGACGAGGAAAGCGAATGAGGAGCCCGTAAATTCCGTCGGATCCTTGTAGTGACTGCGATTGCAAACCTGCTTCGAATCGGAATGCGCCGGCCGTACCGGGCATCGATCGTTCGGAATGCTCGGATCGACGGTATTGTCGTTGGAAACAGTAACAGCGAGGAAGGGCTCAGGCTCGAGGGCGACCGACCAATAGCCGGGGGGGAGAAAGTGTTGAGAATAGCAATCGAGATGCAAGTTTATCGCGACCGGGAGAAAAACGTCGGCCAGCTGCGGGAACTCTGCATTCTTCATCGAGCTCGGCAGCCGAGACGACATCGACACCGCTCTGGCGGTCACCAGCACACGCAACCATTAGGACACCTGGCTGTTCCTGCTGCCGTCACCGTTGTTGATGTTGTCAATTCCACTAGTGCCACGTCGACATCGTTCGTGCTACCGACGGAAACCCTGCCCTCATCCCCTCGCAAGCTTTCGCACAAGCCGTTCGCAAGTCTCCGTGAGGCCTCCCCGTCGGCTCTCGGCGCGGCGGTCCTCCACCTCGCCCACGCTCCCGCTCTGTTTTCTAATAGAGGCGACAGCTGACAACGGGGCAAAGTTTTGTAGAAAGACGGAAACTATCGACCGATGATGTGTCTCCTGTTCTCTGATTCCTGCGTGTTCCCGCGGTATTGCCGGTGGAGTCGACAGGGCCGATCGAGGTGCTGTCGAACATTCTGTAGCGCCGTCGAAGCAGATTCCATGCGCAATGAATGGAGAACATCCTGCGTTCTCCTCTCGTAGAATATTTGTGAGGGCACGGTCACTAATGATCTCATTTTGCGTGATTACGCCATCCACTCATAACGTCGCAAACCTGGCACCAAGAGTTTACCGATGGGATAATTGACATTGCTCCCGCGGAAATGGGAGTGCATACAGCTCGCGGCTCACGGACCTTTCTCGTGGACGATATACCCGAGCGCAGATATCCAAAGGAGACCTCGTCGTAGGGTCCCCGTCGCGTGTTCAGCGCTTCTTCGCAGCTACGAGGAGAGTTCCTTATCGCCGTTGGAATATCAGAAGGCCGTACGCGAGGCGTCTGCGCTCTCCCCTCGTCTTTCGGCTCTGACCGTGCAGTCCTGTCGATTCCACATTCAACTCGCGTCGACAGATTGCCAGTCTTCCCAGCCTATGCCGAGTTCCTCGCTCCTTCTCGCCCGAAGCAGCTCGCCTCGTCACCTCCGGAAGGTGTAGCCCTTCTTGGGCTTTTCCCTCGTCGCGCCGAATGCTCAATCCTGTCTTTGCTAATTTATTCCTTCCGTTTCGATTTTTTTGCTCTTCTCATCCGACGTGCTCCTGCTGACAACATTGTTCTCGACGTCATCCGCGAGATTGCCCGCCTGCCGACGTGCTGGAGGAGTCTTGGCGGTACGAGGTGAATTTAAAAAATCAAGATTTCCGATATGCGAGGACTATTTCTCAAGACCCTCTCGCTAGCCGTGCTCGAATTCTCGTCGGTTCCTCGGACGTCTTCAGTGTCCGCTTCGTCTCGACGCGCGTCGTTTCGCTCTTCTTCGTCAAGATCGTTCCTGACATCGCATGGGCCGGGCCCTTTCTCGCGAATCCCGTCGTGGCCGTGCGCATTCTTCCCAGATTCACTCTCAGTCCGGCCGCTCATTCGATCACTTGCACGGTCCGCTCCAAGATCGAGAATCGCGCCGACGCCCCACTGTCCGTCGCCATCGTGCTCTCAATGCCGGCTCTCTGATGGGGATAATCCTCGGAAGTGCGGTCCGCTGACCGTCCTTCTACGAAATAGCAAGGGATGAAAACCCGAGAAGCCACGCGGAAAAAATGTCAACATCTAACTTCCCCCCCTCCTTCCAGTTACTTCCCTTGACTCAGCCGGCCAGCCGGTAATCCAGTCTTTGCTCTGTGAGTCAATGACGGATCCTATACTCTTGGCTGCGGTTTGGGGATCGCTTCCCAAGGAGGGAGCTTTCAGGGAGGTCTCGCGAGGGGCATCGACAATCGAAGTCCGAACACCATATAATTCTAACTAACAAAAGTGCCGAAGTTTTCCCCACGATGCGACGATCTTTAGAAGATCGGAGCTTCCCGATTCTGAAGGCAGGAGAAGTTTCCATATCGGGGAAGAACCTGCCGATCTATAATACGCGAGGAGCCGATGAGATGTTGTAATTATTCGTCAATATTCTCGACGACCCTGCACCTGAGCGCCTGCATCGATTTGAACCCCCGATGCGGGGGGAGTCGAACCGAATTGCGAGCTACAAGACAATATCCAGAGCAGACGTATAAAAGCTACGGTTCAACTCACTTGTTGCAGGGATTGTTGACCATCGCCGCTGATATATTCTGATCCATGAAGAAGAGCAGCGAGAGAGCGAAGCCCAGACCACAGGCTGCCAATGCAGGGAGCAATCCGAGTTCTTCCACGCGACCTCGTTGGAATTCACCCACCTCGTTGAAGTGGAAACCGTCCGTCTTTACCTCACGGAATTGATACGCGCCCAGGAACGACAACACGATTACGGCTACCGGGAGCGCGCAGTCTGCGAGGATCTCGCGTTTGCTTGCCTGGAAAATTCCGATGGCTGAGAGATGGCTGAGCTCGTCAAAAGAGAAGCTCCTCGTTCCGGCTAGGTTCCGGAGCCAGCAATATCATATCTACGTGAGAGTCGTCTGTAGGCTCGAGTTTGGGAGAGAGGAAAGCACGGCCTAGTTGAGCTAAACAGGAATCAAGCAGCATATGACGCTTTCCAGTTTCTAGTTGAGAATACATTGAACCCAACGACAAGGGACGCTTTCGGCCTCATTTCCTCCGCAAGCGAAAATCGGTTGCGAAAAGTCCGAGGCACGAGTGGCCGCTCGCGGCTAAGCGCACTAGCTCACAGCCTCTCCACGAACGAGACCAACGCAACGGCCGACAGACTCACTGACAAGTCAGAAAGAGACGGCTGATCGGGAGAGATTGTGGTCGGCTATACCTTTGTTACGTGCCACTGGAAACAAGCAGACAGGTCGAAGCCGGAAAATCCTATCGGACATTCTCGAAATCTGCACTCAGATGACCTCTGAGCCATCTCATTACGAGGGAGCTGCCTCGGCAGGACCGAAGGTTCTCTGCCGGCAGCCGGACCGCTTGACGTTCCTCACGGATCTTTCCTCCCGGACTCCTCATGGCGATGAGCTCCGAGTGGGCAACAATTCGACAGTGAGGGGGCAGGATAATGTTTGATTTCTTCTTCATCGAAAAACGCACTCCCCATGGGCCTTTCCAACGGAATACGTTCGGGACTTCAATCAGAGAATTCCACTTCCGGAACTGAGTCGGAGCTGCCTGGGGACTCTAGGAAAAGCATGCATGTCGCCTCCACTGTCACTTGCCTGTAAATATGGCGTTTTGTTGAAGTTGTATAATGAGACGGCAAGCCAAACAGTGCCGAGCATAAGCAGAAGAAATAGCAGGGAGTTTTCGCGGTGGCAGCCGGTATGTTGTAGGTGTTGAAGTAACTCGGTCTCGTTGAGCAATGAGGGCAAAAGTGCGGTATTGTTCACCAGCTGTCCCAGATCCGTTGTGTTGAATGCCCGCGAGCAGTTCATATGGTAGTAGTTCTCCTGGAAATCTGCCGAGCCGGAAAGGAGGCGATCAGTTGGAAGACGGAGCCGGAATTATGTCCTTCGATCGAAGAGAAGTCGATCTATTCGAGTGCTCGTGGAACCTTGCGATTTTTTTCCCTCAATGAATGGCCAAAAACTACAAGATGTAGGATACGGAATGATTCGAAACATTCGACACGCCTCGCCGAGAGTCCCCCAGAATCAGAGGTTCTGCCATTCATCGTGGCTTGGCAGGTTCCTCTCAAGACAGAGGGCTCGAATCCGACAGGGGAGGAAGCACGCCCCGTGGACTAGAATAGAAATTGCTCACTTTTGTAGACGTCCCGGCCAGCGTCCACAACGAAGGCTATACTGATAAATAATGCAAAGATTTCTTCCGTCGATCTGTGAGAAGAGAAAGTGTTTAGTACTCGTGAATTCTCATACATATTTTCTCGAATTGTTCTCTCTCTCTCTTCCTCCTCGAAGCTGTTCTCTCTCTTCCTTCTCGGAGCTGTTCTCGCAGAGGGGAGCGCAAATGGGGAGCGCAAACGGGGAGTGCCCTCTGGCCGCAAGAAGCACGAATGAGTGGAAAGATATTGTTTTTATTTCGAGCCGGAGCTCGAGGAATGGAGAAAGGAGCGTCTGTTGCTGCATTAATAATCAATCCCTTCCGCAATCTCCTGCCACTATACGGCGCAGACGTTCGTGGCGCGTCGTCATAATAAAATGCACGCCCCTGATGATCTGCAAGAGACAGCTCCTCAATCAACCCTGGAGATCATGACTTGTACGTCAGATGTCTTCCCCCTTGAGCGCAGAGCGCAAAAGCTCTCGTGGTATCAGCTCAGAATCTCTTTGTAGAAAACCTATCTCGAAAGAGCATTTCCAAACGATCCTACGTCTTCTCGGTCGCCGCACCGGCCGTATATCCCCTCAGACGATAAGGGAAAGAGGGACAGAGGAGACCGTCGCGCTGAGCTCAAGATTCCGCCATGCACCCACAAACCTTCACTAGGATCGGCGACGGTTGAGAGATAAGACGGAGAAGGGTTTAGAGGGAGATGGGAAGATAACTAAGACCCGATGACTTTACTCACCTTGTGCACCACTTCATAAGTTTTGACGCGTCAAACAGCGCAAATAGAACAAGAAAGAATGTATTCCACAGTCCGACGCAGGCGTACATCGCGTAAAAATCCAGCTGGAAGTCCTCACATATGTTGTAGATTACTACGGAGCGCGATGACGAGACGCGGAAGGGGGAAGGAGAAGGTAGAGGTTACGTGAGTGCGTTTACCCCCTTGATCTCTCCCGACCAGCACTTCGATAAAGTGCTTCCCATACCGGGAAATTAACTGCGCTAGACCGCAGAGCGGCGGTCACTCGCTCGACAAATGCGCCTAGCACCCATTTATTCTTTGCTTTCGGATGATACCTTTTATGTACAGCGACAGAGGAGCCGTCGTCATCAATATGACGAGAGGTTGACCCCCGAATAAGGCGAAGGTAAGCCCACCAATCGTTTGGCTTATGATACTCTTCCGTACATCTGCAAAACCGGTCAACTTCGTTAGGAACGCTGAGCGTGTTTTTCCGACTCATCAGTAGGAGAATCCCCTTCTCAGCAGAGTTCAGCTAAATTTAGCCGCGTGTCTATTGATGAGAAGAAGAGCTCGATTATTATGCATGGCTTGGATAGAACGATATGAGCCGGAGAGTCGATTCCGTGATTGTAGGCTCCATTTCGAAGATTGCCTACCTCCTGAAGCCAGCAGCACAAAGAAAGACATTCGATATTAGCTGTTGAATGATGAGAGAAGAGTGGAAGCTAGCTCGTCAGACTTAAAGATCATGCCGAGCATGGCAAGAGGAAGGGAACGAACCTATTTTCCCAGCGGTATTGGTGTCATTGAGCGCTCCAAACGCGATGGTTGGCAGTAGGCAAGCAAAGTACAAAAAGAAGATGGTCGACACCGTCTTGTAGATGGTCCTATGACCCACCACACCTGGAAAGCGAAAATCCACTCTCGAACTTCATCTCCAGTCATGCTGATCACGAGTATTGTGGTTGACAGTCGATTTTTATGTGTTGAGCAGCATCCGAATCGTGGACTCACCGTCGATGTAATCGGAAACGTAGTGAGCCAGCCGTCGACGAATATCATCGTACAAACCTTGGCCTATAATACATTTTCTCTGAAATGGCAGATCAGATCGATATCAGTTTTGATAAAGCTCGATAACGAATGAACGGTTTTCTCGCTTTGCGGAAAAGAAGCTGAACGTTGGAGTTAGAGTTCTCAGCCTCACATTGCCATATTCATCATTCGCCTTCTACGCAGCTACTCCTAGATTCACCCGCACTTTGAATTGTCTCTAATCCAAGTCGGGGAATTTGATCTATGGACCATACAGCCAAAATTGATTCGATGGAATGTGCGGGAATGAGAAGGGGAAACGATATGTCATATCGGGAACATCGCCGTGATCTAGAATGGACAGCATCTAGCCACACTACCATATACAACATCGTGACTGCTTTAGCTGCTCTCAGGGGACTCATCCACCCCCGGATTTCAGAGAGGAGGAGAGGAGGTTCCATCATCGACCCGTGATTCCCTCCAATTATCGAGTTCTTTTCCCGGCTGTACATCGCGGCATGAAGGCTCCCCGATACATTCTGATCTTCGTGACTTTTTGATTCGTTTTAAGTGAATTTCATCGATGAAATCTCTAGCCATGGGCGACATCATTCGACCCTTTTCGTTTGTTTACCCCCCCTGCATTTCAATATGGGTCAAGCTAATCACCGGATTTCGAAACTCGACTGATCGCAGGCTTCTAAACTGAGCACCTGATGTGCGGTGTCCGGTTGATTCCCACAGGCCGCAGATTCTCTCGCAGCATACCACTCAGCGGCATCTTCAGCTGCTACGCTTCTAACTATCTAGCCACAAAAATCCAAAGCGCCTAGTTTCGAGAGTCGACCTGAACAACTTCTAGAGATGAGGCATCTGCATCTACGAGGGAATGACAATGAGTCGCTCTCGACTGAGAAGCGCAGGAAAACGCTTCGAGAGATGAACGAAAGTGACGATTGGTGATTCGCACAGAGAGGGATTGGAATCACGTATTTCTCCGCAGATTATGAGCAAAGGGTAAGCAAACAGTGATGGGTCAGGGCGAAATGGTCGATTCATTTCCACCTCCACCCAACAGGTGAAGATGACGATGTCGATCCTACTAGAAGTGGGAAGTGCGTGGGAGGATGAGTAGTGATGTCGATGAGAAACGATGGATAGATGATGATGATGATTGGAATCAGACTCAAAGAGGAAAGCAGGACAAACAAGTCAGGAAAGTCATTTTGTTGGACGCCGGGCAAGCCTGGCTCACCTTTCGCCGCCTTCGGCCGGCCTGCTCGTCATTGATCGGGTGTGACGAAGAAAAGAAAAGAAAGGCGCGCATTAAGAACCTTGTGCATGTTCGGGAGCAGGGAGTAAGTCACGAGCTCCGGATACGGGCTCGAGATGTATTATGCTCCACACAGATACAGGTCCAAAGGTCCTCCTCTCATGGAAGATTTTCAAGGTGCATCATTGGCGAGAGAGATTGGTGTTCCCAACGAGCAAATTTTCTAACCCTCTTTGAAAATCGCCGCCCACTCCCTTCTTTGGGTGTTTCAAGCTCTTTCTCTCTCACCCCGTTCCGCCTACCTATCGACGAATAGGTTCTGAGTTGTGGGGATGTTAATCGTCAGGTGAATCTTTTCGAGGTTCTTCGGAGATCGACGAATCATTCAGGTCGACGGAAAGTCTGCAGGGTTCGGAAAAACCCCTCGAGTTGTGAGAACCTCTTCCCTCTAGCCTCGCATCATCAATAATATCGAAAGGTCGAAAATCGAGAGTTTTTAACCCATGTAGCTATTGTGGGCCCGACGTTGAATACGTTTACATAATATGTGGACCGCGATCCCGAGAGGAAATGTCAGAGAGGCCTGCCATGTTCCGAGAACCTTACGGTTCTGTCTCTCCCCTTCCCAGACGAATAAAGATTCCCCGAGCTTGAACTCGGAAATTGAGCTCTGCATATCGCGACCCTATTTCGAGTAATTGGATAGAGAGATTGTTTGTGAGTTGGAGCCCATTTCCTGAGGCTCGAAGATATTATTAACACAGGGTGTCGAGCTCCGGCATTCCACATCCTAAGGGTAAAGTTGAGTCCTCATTCTTCCGAAGTCTGCTCATGTTTCAACCGTGCGGAAACGCAGGAGAACGACTTGTTCTCCCTATCTGGCTCTCGAGAAGGGCGATTTTTTGGCCGAGCGCATGGCGGATGGAGGGACTGACGGAGCGGAGGACGGGCGAGTTGATGGGAGGGCCGAACAGCTAACGTCGGGTTGTCCGATGGCGGGGAAGAAGCTACCGACCCTGCTCGCTCGACTGCTGCTTCTGACTCCGGTTCACACCTCTTTTAAGGATGATTGCAGGAGAATTACTTGAAACGCTCGAGGCGTATGGGTCGCGGTCCGTTGCAGGAGCACTCGGTCAGCAGCTGCGGATGATTCGCCCTTCGGTGTTTCCCCCTGAGCTCCGCGGGAGAGAAGCAGAAGCGAGCGCTAGAAAAACATCCGAGTCCGGATACAGACTCGAGTCCGAGCAAAATTTATCTCGGCAACCTCCCCTTGGAACGAAGATTCCGATGCCTGCACGGTGTAATTCTGAGATGACTCCGGGCACCCTCAGAGTCTCAAGGGGATTTCTCATCGCCGTCCTTGAGGAGGGGAATTTCTGTCTCAAGAGCCGATTCTTATTGCCCAGAGAGAAGGTGTCTTCAGTCTTATGTAAACCACTCTGGGATCTCTCCGGGAGTCTGATTTTCTTCGGCATGGGCAGCGCTTGTCCGACCTAACACCTCGAATGCTAACACCTCGGGGATTATTCGAGGAAAATTTCCGGAATCAACGGCTACAACGGATTCAATCCGGGAAGTAGAGCTCTTCCCCGCGCTCCTATCACTCTCCGCCTTGGAATGAAGCTGTGGAACTCGAGCGAGGAAATGGATGGGACACGTTGGAGGAACGGAAAAAGGACAGTAGCGGAAAACGTCGGCGACCAGGACGTCGGGAGAGCCCTAATAGCTTCTCAATCGGCTCGTCCCTATTCTGTCGGTCCATCCGCACGTCCGACCATGGGACCGTCTTTGTGTCGGTCCATCTCCCTGTCGGTGGGTCTGTTTGTCGGCTTCTCGCTTTCAGCGTCTCAGAAGTCCCACGTCATTAGGCGCTCGCTTGGATTCATTGACTTTTCTATCTTGCGGCTCACAATTCACCAAAATGGAGTCACGATTGATTTTCTCCCCGCCATTCTTCGCTTCCGCTCGCTCCAATATCTGTCGGCCTTCCCGTTCGTCTGTATCACTGTCTGGATCGCTCGTCTGGTGTGCGCTCGCGCCCTTCCATGGTCCTTGATTGAATCAAATCAAATATCCATGGCTCGTACATTCTCCCCTAGGCGTATCCCTTACATGGTTCTGGGGGTTCATTCGAATATTCAACGCTCAGGCAGAGAACGTACATATATGAGAGTTCTCCCGGCCGGGCTTGAAGGAAATGGGAGGCTCTTCAGACCTCGAGAAGTTTTCCAACCGTCCGACCGGAAGCTGATGCTGTAGGAGCCAGTGGAGCCTGCTAGAAATCGGAGGAGGTGCTCCGTGGTTCCGATCGATACAGATCATTGGCGAATTCAGTCAACCATCTGCAATCCCTGGTGCAGCGGGATAGAGTCCGTCGCATTTTCACCACGCAGAATGAGATCCGATCCCTCCGATTCCTTCGAAATATCAGACAGAGACCGAAGGCATCGTCTCACAGAAGCTTCGGAAAGCCCAATAGGTTTATCATCATGGAGAAGTTCTTCCAGCGACTCGGTCAGACGGCCTACTCTGCTCTTCGGAAGCCGGCGGGTATCGCCGTCTAGCTGAAGTTTTAAAGCCCCCTCGCCTCTACTAGGTTCAACAACTCGGAGAGCTTTGGCTCAGGCGGTTTCGCTCGAATCGAAGATTGCGGACCGTTCGCCGAGTTCCCAGGAAGGCATCCGGGAACGGGCACCTTCCGACGAAGCGTGCCCATACTACATCGGCTCAAGGATCGGGCACTGTCGCACATACAGACACTGCTGCTCGTTCCCCCTCCACCCTTGCGAAGAGACCTCGCAGTTTCTACGAATATCGGTCCACCCATCAGAATGCAGAGCGCACAGCATGATTCCCACTCACTGATGATTTCAAACTAATTTCCAGCTATATCGAATGCATCCTTTCGGACCGGTTTTCCATTCAGTAAGATCAGAAATGTCCGAAACCTATTGGGCTGCGGTCATACTATAATGTATGGAAGGCACCACTGGGAGTTTCATTCTGCATCCCGAACGGTCAACGGTCCCAGATCGAGAAACCCGACCGTAGAGTTCCGTACACTTGGCCTACAATTGAATCGCCTTGTCGGCAGTAAGAGCCCGCGAACGATGAACCTGGGTCACATGTGTGGACCCCGAGCCCGCGACTTGCACTTCGATTCCAAATCCTCTATCCTCCCTTGTTTCTAACCAGCTGGAAACCAGCATTCTCGAGCGACCGGCCTTCCGCTACCGACCATATTCCTCCGAGCATCCGACCCCCTCGATGATAAGGGGAATCAGCGAGTCCTATGGACTTGCTCTCGCAACCCGATTCATCGAATTCACACACGAACCATTCGGTCGCTGCTGGAGAAGAGCTGGGCTCCTTATTCAATTCGATAGATTAACAGATAAATAAATGTAGATGAATTGGTCGATCTTAATCTCCCGAATATGATACCTCGGGATTTTAGGGGGACACGCAGGGCTCCTACTGAAATTCCGTCCCCATTTGTTCAGGGTCGCATCCGCGGTCATTCAAATCCAATGATGGCATCGTGCGCGTGGTGCAGCATCTTCTTATCGGCTGTGCCTCTCCCACTCTCTCAGTACTCCGATGCGCAAAACGTCAAGAGATATTCGTCTCGCTTGAGCCGTTGGTGGAGCTTATCCCCAGCTCATTGTGCCGGACGATGGTGTTCGGTCGGGAATGTCTCTTTGTAGTGTATTCCTCAAATGAGCCGCTCGTCATACGGGACCCCTGTGCGTATCGGAGCATTCTCGTCTTTGTCGGACGGCCCCGCGCCGGAGCGGGAGAATCTCCGATGCAAAATTCGCCTCCTAGGCTATCTCGTCCAACAAAACGTCATGTGAAGCGCTATTTATGGCACATCCTCCCATTTCGGATGCTCGGACTGTTGGTAAAGCTTCGACGATGTCATTGTGATCTTCGATTTATTGTTGCGTTCGCCTGTGAGCCCGGCACGCGAGTCCCTCTGAGTGACTTAGGGATCTCTCGTGGAATTCCGGGTAACCTGGAGCAGCCCGTCGGGTCGGATGCATCCGAAAATACGCTCGTCAGAGAACTCGCTACTGTTTCGCCGTAGAGCGAGTCTATGGAAATTCATGAACGCTTCATCTCAGATAGACGGGCAAGAAATCGAGCACATGAACGTACTGTCTTGGCCGAGGGGATCTCGAACATGGATCGAGTCTCACTCTCATCTGCTATATTTAGTATTCCTCTTCGCCTCAATGGGTGTTTCTCGCGCCCTCGATCGAGACTTGTGGAAATATTCCATCGCGGCGCGGCGCATGCAGAAATCGCATTGAAAGAGACGACCTTCCCTCGAGCGGGGAGTCCTCATTCCGATAATCCGCGGTTGGCTGGAGCATTTGCAAACCAATATGCCTGAGAGAAAGTCTCGGAACCAAGAGCAAGCGTCTTGGGAGACGACCCACGGACGAAGTCCATAGCGCCGTGCTCGAGCGCCGGCTACGCGCGTAGAGCCTCCCAAAAAACTTAATTCGTGCTCGTGCGCCCCATACTCGCCTTCGAAGGTAGGTCCGCGAATCCTGACAGCGAGGGTTCCGCCTCCGCCCCAAGCCTCCGAGCGTCGATGATGAGAGCAAAGAGGACCTTTCGCTTCCCATGATAAGATAGCCTCTCCATTTAATCTAGCGGTCGCAAACGCTCGTTTCTGGTCAGCCTGTTTCTTGTCCCCGAGCATTAAGCCAATCGAAAGCTCGATCGAACGCTTGAGGGTTATTTCATTCGGTAGAGACGATCGCCGGTTCCGCACAGATTGGATAAGCTGATTGGCCGTCACCGACCTCTTGAGCTCAACCGCGGCTGCGTTCTTCCGTCCTTGTGGAGACTTCACAGAGCTTCGGAGATGTTAGGGATTAAAATATATTCCCGTGGATCGTAGGAATGGCATAGAGTATTGCTTGGGTTGATGCATAGGGTTGGAGCCCAGAGGAGGTATCCGCCTCTCGGTTCGGATTTGGCCGTTAGGCGAGACCGTGCTGTAGATCGTCCACCAAAGGTCCTGGCAAGCCAACGTTGAAAACGGAGAACTCCGTCCCGGCTTTTCCAGACCAGCCCAGACTGAGCTGTCGTGGCCGAAGTGAGCTGGCGACGGGCACTGATCTCCGAAACCGAGCCTCCAATACAGCCCCCGACCCGCTGTATTGGAGGCGTTGGCACTCCATGTGAGGTCGACCTCCCCCCGGAAAAGAGAAGGGTAGGGGAGGAAGCTCACGGAGGGAACAACGGAGGCCTCAAGCCGTACGATGCGGATCTGTTGTGATATTCCGCTTGAATGCGTCTTGATATGTGAGCGTGCAGCGTATGTCCGTTCACACGATATGAACGCAACAGCTGTCTAGAATTCAGCAGTGGAGGTCGAGGGGACTGGCGTTCGGACAAGAGATAAGCGTTCGAATCAGGGGCCAGTGAGGACGAGTCGGTCGACTCAAGCATGAGTTGATTAAATTTTGCGAGGGAGCAAAGTCTGAACAAGGTCGTCAAGAATTTCGCACTCTCTCATCCCGAGAGAGGGGGAGCATCTCGATCCTACAGCTCATTCGAAAAATAACGAGGTCACCCTCTCTTGATCGCCTCCGAATCGAAAGGCTCGCATATCGGGGGCGTGGGGGAGGGGGCACAAACTGATAGCGTCTCCGAGAAGAGGCCAGCATGCCATGAGCTGGGGTGATTGACGATACAGGGTCAAGTTCAGCGTGACGCCGATGAAAGAGATTTCGCAATGGAATGCGAAGACTCAGGAGACGACGAGTCCGATCTTAGACCTCCACCGTCTCGCTGCTTGCCATAAGATGACGGAGCTTTTCTGCCTTACTTCTCCGACCCTTCGGGCGCTCCCTAGCATACTAGGTGCACGATCTCTAATTGTGAGTGAGGGTTCGTCGCTGACTCCAGAGAAATCACGGAGTGTCGAAACAGGCTCGTATACTTACGCGATCCAGCTCGGTCTCATAGACTAGGGTGATGGTTCTCTCACTCGGTTGTATGGGCTGCTGATTGAAAGCTCGTCAGTCTGTCAATCCGACGAGAACTCGATGAATTCTGTGATGCTTCCGATATCTGCGGAGCGGATGCTCAGCTGCGTCAAGCGTGAGCAGTGCGAGAGGAGAACATAGCTTTGGCGAATTGTGTAAGGGTGATAGACAGGATCGGGCCCGAGTGTTTCTCGTGGAGAACTACCGGGATTGTTCCGATAGCAAAGCTGATTTTCAGAGAAGGAGCGAAAGCGAATCCCAACGTACGATCTCGCATAAACAAGGCGATTCTCATATCCGACCGGACAACGGATCGTCCCGATGACCGAAAAAGGAATCACGGCCCCGAAGCTGAAGCTTGTTCAGAGTGAAATCGAGGACATCCGTATCCCTCGGCATCGAAAAAGTGGTGCGACCCACACGCTGTGCAGAGTTCCACGCACAGCGGGAGAACAGCGAGTCCGGGTGAAGACTTCGCGAGTTTCCCTTCGACAAAAGCGCTCTCCGAGCTGTTCAACAAGCCTCTCGGAAAGTTCGCTTTGGGCTTGTTGTGTGAAAATTTAGCTCAAAGATAAAGTGAAATAGATGAGTTGCGACCAAAGTTTCCAAGTGCCACCAAATAGCTACAGGAAAGTCGCGAAATATTGCCGTGACCGACCGAGCGGCGAGCGGGAAGCGATGAAAGATATTACAGCGATTAATGAGCGTTTGAGTTATTGCACTGGTCGGGAGTGCGCATGGGCGAGCGGCGTGTTTGATAACTAGAGTGTATCGGAGGACATTATCCATCATGGTGCAGACTTACAACGCCGAGTATTGGCAGTTTCAAAATTCTCGAAGTCAATTGGCTGATCACCTACAACACATGATCATATAATTTTTTGAGCGATAGCTCAACGACGCTCCAATCCAGTAGAGAGAGAGAAAGAGACTCATAAATGTGAATCATCAAATATTACGCGGAGGGATAATCTCCGACGCGGTGCGAGGGCCCCATGACTATTCTACCCAGGGCGGGACGTAGGCTGAGACCTCTGCATAAATGAACGAGACACACTGCTGCATGTATACAAAGGGAAATCCGAGAGAGACTAGGGACAAGAGTCATATTTCCGAGGAGGCAATGAGGTCGTCGGCTTAACCCTGTCATCGATTCCCCTACATTGATGACCGCGAGAGGAAAACAGTGACCGGGTCCCAGGGGGGAAATTTGGATTGAGAAGAGGGAAAAATAGTCGGGCAATGACGGGGTTTACGATTAGCACAGAGTTTGAGGAGACACACTGTATGGGCAGTGGAGAAAACAGGGTCGAGATCTGTCGAAATCTAGGAAAAACCGTAGCTCTTACACCTTACCGGAAACTCGATGTCGGCGTCGTGATTCGCAAACCGGTTCGCCGGATTGCTCTGCTCTGCTGCGAGGTCTTGTGCATGCTTGAGAAGCACGTTTTTGAATTCGGCTTCTGAATGAACTTCGAGCAATTTCTGACGGAAGTCCATGTCCGCGAAGATCGTCGCGAAGGTTCGGCCCGTTTCTAGGGCATTTTTTGTGCCTTTCTGAAAGTGGGAGAACCATTACGGTTAGATTGATTCCTTTTTGGTCGGCTATCTCGCCTGTAGACTTGCTCGTTGTACGATCGTTCTCCCTGCCCGCGTGCACTCAAGTTGGTCACCCGGTTCGCTCGCATACGAAGGCTGTTCGTCGCAGTAGGCTCGAGCTCGAGAGCGCGCGTGTCGTTACTAGCGATTGAGCTCACAGGTGGGTCAAATCGGGAACCTACACCTTCGGCGGAGCTGCGACGAACGAGACCTCGACGATCATGGTGCATCATTGATTCGAATCGGACAAACAGGACGGCCGCGGATCAGAGCAATGATAGCATGACTTCAGGTAGGGCAATTTGCCTCTGATTAGCTCGATTCAGATGTCGCGCGACGAGCCCATGAACTAGTAAGACATGCGGTCATTTATCAGTCATCTGGCGCCAAATGCTCCTTTATTATACCGCGGACTCTCATCCATGAGCCTCGACCTGCTATAGCAATCATTGTCGCACTCGGGTAACAAAAACTGGTCTCACGCCGTGCCGGCCGGAGCCAGAGGAGGGTGTCATGAATACGCGACCTCGGCCGCCTACAGAACACGCAATCAACGTGGGCCGCTCGGGCTGCGCGAGTGAATGAATCGTTCCCGATAGTATGTAGTTTGTGCGGTTCACTTGGTTCGTTTCCCGCGGAAAGACAAGAGCGATGCGGGAAAAAATCGGCACCGCAAGCGCCAACGGCGAATCAGTGGGATGGAATTAAGAACAATGTGGAAACCTCTGGAATCGCATGATCGACTCTTCAAATGTATGCTCGTCCTGGAGAGGTGCCGCTTCTCGCAACGCCCGCGATAACCCAGCTTTGGGCAGTAACAAGAGAGAATGGGAATCGCTTTGATCACATGCATCGGAGCCTGTGCATGATCCACGCCGCCGAGCTGTTTACCGAGCTCCACCAGTTCGCGCTCCAACTCTCGAAAAGAGTTTCAGTGGTCTGGACGGTCAAAGTGAGCGAGGAATATATCGGTGACCGGCGGATCCCCACCACGAAGATCGGCTAGAACCGGGATGACGATTGCCGCTCGAAGCACCATTGGGAGAGGAAATTTTCTTATAATTAAGAACGAGGGAACGCCTCCGACGGCGACGCCCCGGAAACTCAAGAGCGAAACGGAATTTGATCCTGCGGTCTCGCGAGAAGCTCGGGAGGAGTTTGTATGGTCTCATTCATCACTGAACCGGAATGCCAGATTATCTGCTGAGCTTACGCGACGTCATTTGCCCCACTGTCTCCCCGCGTCCGCCACGATTCCTTGACTTAGCATTCTACATACGCTCGACCCTTGTCCTTCGCCGAGATTGAGAAATGAGCGGAGGCATCGATTGAGATCATCTGTCCATAATCGGAGGGACGGAAGCACCATATTGGCAGGCTCTGTGAGGAGATCCAGAAAATTATGCTCCGAGAAGCACGACTGTCTCGGTCCGTGTCGTCCATGCCTTCCCCGCTCAGCCTCTTCTTCTATGGGCTGGCCAGAAAGCTAGCTCAGGGACGGGTCCCGGGTGAGGACAGAGAGCTCAAACCACGACGCTGAAGAAGCGCCGCAACTGGCGGAAGGGGCATAAGGACGAACAGGAAAAGAAGGACACACATCCCTCTCTCCTGCTCGACGCAGCAAGCGTTCGAGCGGCAACAGCGGCGCAGGCAGCAAACAGGCGCTCGTCGGGAGAACGGGGACAGCAAGTCTACAGCGGAAAGACGTGAGGGAAGCGACGCCTAATAACAACTTTATCCTGTCACAGCCGTCCGCTTGTCGTCTCTTTCGGTCGTTCTTATGTCTAATAACACAAAGAAAAAATATTAGTAGCGGCTGAGCCAGAAATGAGCTCATATTTCAGCGTAGGAAAAAGTAGCCCGAAGGCTACCAGCCCCTCTCGGTACACCATTCGGGTCTCCTCTAGCCTTCCCTGGCTCACTCAGTCGGTCGTTTGGAGACTCTGTCCTGAGCTGTATGCTGTACGTTGTCGCTTTTCCCGCGGAAGAACTCTCGTGAACCTTGAACTCTCGTTATGATCGGTCGTTCCGATGCTCAGGCAGTGAATACCCGACGGCGATGTTCGCGGGATTCGCCCCAGGAGGAAATCGAGGTCGCGGCCGACTAACAGCGTGAGCGGGTTGTGTCGCCGAGCTCCCGTCCTCCCCCGCTTATCAGCGCTCAATCCGCCTCTCCAATAAGTCGCGTGTCACAGAGCCACAAATCACGACATCCGCAGCGGATCCTTGTTGACACTTCTTCGGTCTGTTGCGTCGACGCTCGATCCTTCGCCCGCCTAATGAAACGGAGCTGTATTCTGCTTATCTCGATATCATGTTCCTGTCGCGTATCATTTCCCAGGATGAGGGGTTAGAGGCATGGCGGCTCCGAAGTTCCCGGAAAAACTCGATGAGGAGGCTTCCGAGTAACTCAAAGAATCAATTCCGCAAATTAATTTCCCTACGGCCCGGGGTTCGAGATCGGGAATGTCGAGAATATCGACGCTGTATTCGACCGCATTCCGACTCCGCGTCTCTCTGCGAAGTACCATACGATCAGGTAAGCAATCAGCAAAACGACGGAGCTTCCGCGAGTCTCAGGTTCGCTTCCTCGTGCGGGGATACGGCGCTCCAAGTGCGATGCTGTTCCTTTCGCGATGCCGACTTCCATCCCGTTGTACTACCTGCTTCTCGGGTTCCCGTCTCAGTTCCCGCCGAGCAGATCAGGTGTATTCATTCACTTTGATCTTCGACTTAGTTAACAACTCACTCAATTCCCTCGTCCGGTCTTTTATTCGGCCATGATCCCGACCGCCCGTCTGTTTCTTCGATTTTCTTCTTTTTGTCTATGTGGCTGGGAGCAGGATCTAACCCGGAGCCGCAGTCGACTGAACCGATATCGACGGTGGAAGCGGTTTTACAAGGTAAAACCACCGGTGAGTTATCGAGTCATCGAATCGAGGCCCGACAGCCGCTCATCTCGAGAGAGATCGGATCTGCGACAACATAGCAAGGCTTAAGGCTTCCCACATGTGGTGAGCTTCGTATATGTAGGTGTACATACACATGGTCGTCTGGACCTGGGTGGATGCCGAGTAGAGGGCAACGTGCGACTCATTCACAAGACTCCGGAACACGGGTGCGTTTTTCGAGCCGAAGTCCTCGAACGGTGGCTCGGGCATAGAGGATTTATTTTTCGTTTCCCACAATAGAAGCGGCTTTTCTTAGCTCCGAAACTCCGAGTGGAAGTTTACTTGAAGACACGAAGCTGGGCTCGGAAAAAGTTTTGAAACGTTTGAATAATTGACAAAAAATTGAATCCACATCTCCGAGTGGAGAGAGCCCAAATGATCGTCAATCGGAAAGGAATGAGGCTGGTTCCCGAAGGAATCGCGGAATCTAAAAATAAAACTCTCGGAGTTTTCGCTTCCGAGCTTGTCGAAGCGACAGTCCTGCTACGGCCTTCCGAGACCAGACGCCGATGGGTCCGCTCTGTGTAGATAGCGGCAAGATGTAGTCGCGGAGCGTCTGAGACAGAGAATGTGATTGAGTCACGATGTCTTCCGTTGGACGATTAGACAATTTAGCGAATTTCGGTAACGAGCATCTCTATCCGTTCGAATTACCCGAGGATCGAGATGATCCATTCATTCGCATTCGAGGGCCTGATTTGGAATCCTTCTCCTCATCGTGTGATGCCGCAAAGAGACGGTCGTATGGAGAGAACACGGCTCATCTGAATCTCCGGCGAGCCAATGGCTGCTGGAACTGCCTTTGGATGTACCAGGAGCCGTCCCTTTCCAGAGTCTCGTCCAACCGGAAGCGTCGGACTTGATAATTTTTCGATGTCGGGGTGTTCAACACAATCGGGTTCAGGTAATATCGAGCGCCTCAACTTGTCCTCGAATTTTTGAAGTCTCGAAGACTCTCGCCTCGCAGACGAAACCATTCTCCGATACCTACCTCGAAGTGATTTTCGCAGCACCAGAGAACTATCTCCTCCTGCATCCCAGCTCCGGCCGAAAACAACGGAGGAGAGGTTCGCTCGGGGTATTGTTTCCTGATTCCCGTTCTTCGCGCGGTCACCGAGAGATCCACCGGAGCTGAGGTCGACTGGCCGAGTCCGGCTCGCGAACGTCACGAGCATATATGCATGACCTGCTCGTCCTCGTCACGAGCGCTAAATCGCTCGGCTGCTCAGACGGCTCCCGGTGACGGGCTTGAGCAGGACAGAGTCGACTCTTGGCAATAATCGCTATAGGCTGACGCGAGGAGCAGCGTCAGAGCTCGACCGAGTTGGATCGATGATGAAGACTCGGGGTCCAGGAAAGTTCTGGATTCCAAAGCTCCGCGAGAGCAGGAAACCCTGGTCTGAATGACTACCGCGGAGGAATTCCCATACGAAACCACACGGATGGCTCCGTTCTTTCTCTGATGTCCCTCTTAGACTGACCGAGGAGAAATCCATTATGAACGGGGGCTGGCAAAGTAAGTCGCGACGGAAAAGTAAACAAACACTTCCACCGTCTCAGTAATCACCGAGTCATCGTATCCGAGAGCAAGGAAGATGAATAATCACAGAGGGCGGCGGGTATCTGGACAAATATCAATGATACCTCTTCGCCGACCCGCGCTCGATACAGACGGTACCCGGAACGGACACGACGACGATTACCGCTTCCTTGGGAAGATCGACTTTCGACTTGTGCGCAGCCAATGTGATCAAGGGAGCCCTGCGGAGAGACAACAAAACCGGAGAATCACGAGGGTCCCGGGAAGGAGAAAGATGTTTACTTAGCCGGATGATCCGTGGCCCGACCTCGGCTTCGCTCTTGACCGACCTACTGCCGAGCTCCTGCAGTATTGAGTGGTCTTGCGAAAAAAATGGACAAACGAACGGACGGATAAACAAAGCTGCCGACACAAGTGAGGGACCGAAGAGGGGAATGGACGATCGAGGTCGTTTCCCCGCCCCTCTC